CCTTCTTGTGCTTCCTCCATTTCATCCTTTTCCTGGCCAGCTTCTGCCTCGATCACCGTAGAGGTCTCGCTGTCGCTACCATTAGGGGAAGAGCCACTCGGTGAGCTGGAACCAGAATCGTTCTGACCGGCAGACTTGATCAGTTCGGAAACGAGGCCCTTCATGGCCATGAGCTGACGATAAGTGCCCTTCTCGACAATCTCGCCGTCGCTAAGCAAGCAGATGTAATCGGACTGAACAAGGACGGGGATGGAGTTGGTGGCCAGAATTCTGGTCTTGGAGGCAAGGAGACCCTTAGGACCGAGAACATGATTAATGATGTGGCGTCCAACGTGGGAGTCAACAGCCGAAAGACAATCGTCCAGCAAGTAGATGTCCGCCCTAGCATAGACAGCTCTAGCCAAAGCCACACGAGCCTTCTGACCACCGCTAAGAGAAATACCACGTTCTCCAACAACCGTCTCGTCTCCATCAGGAAGCTGAGCAAAATCGTCAACGAGAGCACACGCCTTGACCGTCTTGTCGTAAAACTCCGCATCGAACCTGTAACCGAAAACAATGTTCTCTCGCACAGTGGCATTCATAATCCAAGGGTTCTGAGCGACATAGGCGACATTTCCATGAACCTCGACCTCGCCCTTAATCTTCCATAGATCGCCCAGAATACTTTGCAGGAACGAACTCTTGCCTGCACCAACACGGCCCACGATGCAGGACAACTCGCCCTTGTGTGCGCGGAAGTTGATGTCGGTAAGAACGGGCTTGTTCTCGTGACGGTTCCAGGAGAAAGTACCGTCACGGATAACAACCGTCTCTTCTCCAAGCTCCTGAGCGGGGGGCTTGACGATGATAGCGTCAGGCTGAATCTCCTCAGCGGTGAGGTAGGAGGTAAGACGACCGACAGCGACACTGGCCTCAATGATAGAGGTGATGACCATGGGAAGAACCGCAAGAGGGAACGTGAGCAAGTTGAACAAGGCAAGACAAGGGAAGACGATATCAGTCGTCAAAGGCCTATCCTGGGTCCAGACAAACACGGCAAAGGTCGAGCATGAGACAAGGAATGGTGTAGTAGACCAGGTAAAGTTGGCGAAAGCCTGGCCAGCACCAATTTTGCGCAGGTTCTTAAGCTCCTGGTCGTTACGGATGTAGTTCAGCTTGTTCATAAAGGCTGTGCCCCATGCATACAACTTGATGCTCTTCATGTTGTTGACGATCTCGGCAATGAGACGGCTCCTGGCGTCCTTGTTCTTCATCTGCTGCTTTTGCAGGTTCTTCATGAACTTTGCGATCATGCCGTTGATGGGAATCATGACGATCATAACTCCGATACCCGCAAGCATGGACCATCCAACAAGTTGGTAAAGAGAAAGCATGCAAAGAGTGATCTGGAACGGAGCAGACCACGCCTGCTGGGCGAATTGGGTCAAGTCCTGAAGACGCTGAGCATCGACAGCCATGTAGTTGACAATATCTCCGGTTGTCTTGCTGGCACGGCCTTCGTTGGACAGCTTAAGGGCCTTCCTGTAGATGGATGAAGTCAATCCACCCTTGATCCTCATGCCCGTCTCAAAAGCGAGCTGGAAGTACTGGTGGATCATGGTGGTCTGGAAAGTGGCAACCGCAAACATGGCGAGAGAGATGGCAGCACCCTTGATCACGGGTTGCGGCTCCTGTCCTTCACGGTAAGAGTCAATAAAGCTGATCAGGTATCTGAGGAGCTGGGGCTGCGCGAAAGCCGAAAGATCGTTTCCAATCTTGAAGAAGGCAGCAAGGATGTAAGGACCGCCGTAGGCACGGAAAAGAGCGAGCCACAGGGAGGGCTTCTTCTTCTTGTTCAACTCATGTTCCCATGCCTTGGCAAACGCTCCACCGGTAGTCTTGGTAGTATCGCTCTTTGCCAGTCCCCAGAGATCCTCCTCGGTCAGATACTGGGCATAGCCATGCTTCATCATGGGAGTCATCCACGAGAAAGTCAGTCTGGAGAAAACGGTCGCATAATCCACCGGGCATTCCGGCTCGTCGATCAGAGCCTCATAGGCAGTATCCTTCTTGGGCCATAACCACTCGACCAAGAACTCGACCACAGAGAGACCGAAGCCGATGCAGTAGGTGATGAAGTAGGCCTCATTCTTGGCATAGATTTGCTGAGAAATGAGGGACCTGAGCTTGACTGCAAGGGCGATGAGGAGCAACAGCCAGTAGAAGAGAACGACGCCGTTTGCATTGCGGAGGCGCGAGTGTTCGAGCCACTGGATGGCAAAGATGACGAAGAGCGAGAGAATGGTTCCGGCTGTGGTCCAGACTCTGAAATCGCCATACCAGATATTGGGGTAGCTGACGATCTGTATAGCCAGTTGGACGGTAACGTCGGCTATGATGAAACCTAGGAGTACCTTTTGCGAAGAATGTTAGACATATGCCGCACTTCTTGTCTTGCTCGACAGTTGTAACGCACCTGCTTCAACCAGAAATGCCAGTCCTTGGCCACTGGCGTTGGCGTCTTCCTCTTTAGCAACCACCATATCGCGGCGGATCCTGCAACAAGACCAAAGGTGGCAACCGAGGCCACCCACACGTCGATAAAGCACGGCGTGAAATCATATCGAAAGGGACTCATCGGTCCCCATCCCTCCTCGTTACCGCATAGCGGCTGCTTGAAGTCCTTTGACGCCGCAAGATAACCGCTACCCAGGTCGAAAACGGAAGGGCGATAACCAGTAAACGACCCGCTCTCGTAAAAAAGGACCCTCTGCGAGCCGAAGCCGTCGCTGTCTATATATTCGAGCCCCATTGGCGCAACTATACCCTCGTAGCGATGTCCAAACGCGTCATAGCACGGGGTAAAGGTTGTGGGTTTTGCAGGCTCTTTGCGCTCGGGAAAGAAGCGAAGTTGGAAAAGTGTTATGCGACGAAACGTGTAAGTCGGGATTCGGTTCTCGTCGGGGTCACACGTTGAAAGACCTTTCAGATTGCCCACAGCGGGATCACAACGTAAACGTCGCCGATGTATATAACGATGCTCGTCTTGACTTTGTTTGTATGGGGTTGTAGGTAGGTAGTAGTAAAGTTGTGGTTGTGGTGCCGTCAGTCGTGGGTCGTCTCCCACCTAACCTAGGGTAGTGCGGCGACTTGCTCGGTAATCAAGAGCGAGAGGAACCCTTGAGAAAAAAAAGCTAAGATGAAACAAGAAAGAAGTGGAAGCTGTGGGATCGAAGGCAACAGCGGGCACTGCAATCCGTCTACCTAAATTGAAAGCTCGCCGACTGCCTCTACCTTCGCTACTTAGGCAGGCAGAACAGAGAACAGACGGCAGTCGGAAAGAAAGACGGAGATAAGAGAGAGCCTTGCACTTTCCGCGGTTGTGGCTGGCTCTTTCCTCGCGCTGGATGCAACTTTCTTTGGCGCATGTCACAGCAGATCGGCAAGTCAATTGGCCCGATGGCGACTTTTCCAAAGTGCACTCATAGCGCAGTACTCTGGTCGCTGACAAATCCGCAGCATTTGTAGCGGAAGCAGTTCGTCGGTCTCATGTCCTTGTCTAACGGTCGTCGCTGCCATTCCTGCAATCCCCACTCGACATTCGCACCTGTGCCCCACCAATGATGCCGTCCACTTTTACAGGCTTCCACAGCGTTCCCACGTTGCAAAGCCGCCTACTGCTTCGAACGCGCTAGCAGCCCAGAGTCGTGACGATAGCAACCTCGATATGTCAGGGCACAAAGCGAAGCACGATTCTCGCCCGTATAGTGCACCGTTGAAGTATTCGATGTGGAGGAATCGCGGTTCCGGCGGTGAAGATGATGGAAACTCGACACGTAGGCTTTGCCTAGAGCCTGGAAGACGTGTTCAACTGGTGATATCCGATCCCGTCCTTGGGGTTTTGAGGCCGGAAACAGACAGAACAAGTTCAGGTATCTTGGGTATCGGGACGTCCCGCCCTGCTCACGGACCGGAATGGAACCCAGCGTCCATCTTCCGCTGCAACAGGTGTACCTGAAGGTGAACGCTTGGCTTGGGGGAAGGATCTCACTGCTCACAATAATCACCAATACCACGCTAAGTGCGTTGGCAGGTTGTCCAGACTCATCAGGTGTTTCACGAATTGAAGATGACAGCGGTGAGACAGTGTTATGGCGACAACGTGAAGCATCTGATATGCTCAGACGGGATGACTGGCTGTCTACCGATAGGCCGGCCAAAGTCGATGTTCAACATGAACGTATGAAGAAATAGACATGATATGTATTCTGTCTCTCAACCTTGACGTCTAAAGAAATGGGGCACTCATCCTCACAACAGCCGTCATACTATGAACCATGATCCGAACTGCAGCTCTTACGCTACACCCACAATACACTAGACTATGTATGTCTCACTGTCCCGCAAATAGGACTCGCGTGAGACACCACCTGAAGGGCAGCACAACAGAGGAATGACGTTGAAGCCTGAAGGCGAGCTGCTGAAACTCCAAGCTCCGAGCAGTCCTCGTTGTCATCGTCTTCAACATACAAGTAGGCAATGAAAGCGAGACGGAGTTGGAGCACACCTCGCTTCTGAAATCAGTTGCCTACCCTCCACTCTACATTGATACATACCAAACTGCTTCCCCGCCCCACCCCACCATTACACTACATACCTCTACATAGTACAGCCAGGATTGCGTATATACATTACCTAACCAGCTACCTACCGCCCGTGACAGCTTCCGGTACTTACCTAAAATTGACTCCATCCATCTTTTCCAGCTTGTGATGCCTCCACGAACCGCCCCCCAAACTTCCCAAAAAACCACCATTTTACTTTTCCTCATTCTCCTCGTCGCCTTCTTCCCCAGCAGCTTTCACTATTTGTGGAACCTCCCGCTCAAACTTTTGGCTTTTCCTTTTGGTGTTTTGTCGTCGCTACTCTCCTCGTCAGGGACAGCATCGCCGCCATCGACGTCATTGCCCAATTTTACTGAGCTTCCGTATTGTCAACAACCATCACAAGCCTCAGCCATGTCGTGGTCGCAAAAGACTTTCACACTGCCCGCTCAGTCCCGCGGAGCCTACTTGATTACGGACATTGTGACGAAGGAGGTGCCGGAGATCAAGCAGTACAAAGTGGGGTTGCTGAATTTGTTCATTCAGCATACGAGCTGTGCGTTGAGCTTGAATGAGAATTGGGATCCGGTGCGTTTGAACCTTGAGAATGAGCCTTTTTGAAAATGCTCATATCTCGTAATTCCCTTTTGGACATACTATACCATCCAAGTCACCTTTGAAGATCGATGAAGAAAATATCATGCACATATATCAGCTCCTCGTCTAACTTTCCATGTGTTGTCATCGTTATAGGATGTGAGACTGGACATGAGCGACACCCTCGACCGCATCGTGCCCGAGGCCACAAGCAAGAACCCGGACTTGTACCGACACAACGACGAGGGCCCGGATGACTTTCCTGCCCACGTCAAGTCTTCCTTGATCGGTACTAGCGTGACGATTCCCATCACGAACGGAAAGCTGGTACGTTTGATACCTCGATCTCCACTAAAGCTCGTAGTCACTGACATGAATATGTCCTCAGGCCACCGGCACATGGCAAGGCATCTGGTATCTCGAGTTCCGCGCTCATAAGCACAGGCGCAACATAGTAGCCACCATTCAGGGAGAAAAGGGAAAGGAGTAAGGATGTGTTGAAAAGCTATGATTGTTTTTTTTTCTTCTTCTTTAGACCTAGTCTCAATACCAAGGAGCAAGAGCTCTGTTTTGTCTGTCATGCCTTTATCCCAACCCAGTCAGTCAGCGTCTCGCCTAACCTCACTCTTTGGCCATCTTTAGTCACCTTTGACCCTTTATTATCCTGCTCAGTACAATAAGAACAAGGGGGAACAGAAACCCGCCTGGCTGTGCGGACAGCACTGCTCCTCCTGTAGTCTAAACACTCGTATCCTTAATCGTCATGCTCCTTGTACGGACGCGAACCAAGTGACTTGTGCGTTGAGCGATGCCGTGACAGTCAATGTTCCTCGTCTTTTTCCGTCCCAATCGCTGTGATCTCAACGGGCCCCGTCCTCGCGTCATGCATGTGTTTCAGCAGGGAAAAGAAAGACTGCTGTGCTCTCTAAGGACCGTTGCCTTCTTCCGTCTTCATGTCCACATCATCACCACTCGCAAGGATCTTAGTCTTGGGCACGTAGCCGTCTCCATCGCCCGGAGTAACAGCCACCACCTCGCCGTTCTCGTCAACGAACTCAAAGTTGTAGCGGCTGAGAAGATGGGGGATGGCGGAAAGTTGTGGGCCGTATCTAGCGGTGTTGTCGTATAACTCGAAAAGGGGGACAGCCAGTAGCTTCATGTTCTTCGGCACGCTGAGGACCTCTAGTTTTGGAGAAAAAGTACGAGGGTTAGCACGCGTCTCACAGAAGCAAAGGACAAAAGAGTAGATAGACGAGGAGGAAGAGCACAAGACATACTCGACTTGGGTAACTGAATAAAGTAAAGCTTCTTGCACTCCTTCGGTCTCGTCACATGGGCCGGTACAAAGGGGTACATGAACGTCTCAAAGTTGGGCCTCCACCACTGCGCAAGGCAGTCGCCCACCTGCCAGTCACCCGCCTTCTCGCCCTCGCCAAGGCTGCCCACGGGCGCCAAACGCTCGTCCAGCCGCTGCTTGAACCCTTCGATCTCATCGTCCTCCGGCCGCAGGTAGTCGCCTGGTAGCTTGAAGAAGGCGTTGGCGATCTGCAGCATCAGGATGTGCGGGTGGTTATGCTCGTGGCACACCAGGATGCCCTCGCACGTGCGCCGCATGCCGTGCGCGTTGTAGTGCTCCTCGAGTCGTTTCAGGCGCGCCAGCACGCTCGGGTCCTCCTCCGGTTGCGTCTCCTTGACGCCGAATGTGTAATTTGATAGCGGGTAGAGGCGGATCGTCTCGGGCTGGTTGGCGTTGAAGGGTAGGGGGATGGTGGGTGGCACCGAGCTCTGGAGAGCGTTGGAGGTTATTGTAGACATTTCGCTGTTTGTCGCGTTCTCTGCTGCGACACGAATTGGTTCTTGATGGGAACGTGTGGCTGTTTGGTTCAGAAGAAGGGACTTCTTGATAAAGGATCCCAAAGAGCTACTTGAGAAATGGAGTCTGGAAATGGATCTTGTTACAGGAGCTGTATTAAAGACTTCTCGGTCGGTGTTTGATTTCGTGTCGACGCGATGCGCTTTATGTGATGGATGGACACGACTAAAGTGGGAGAGGAGGCAGTTCAGAAAGAAACTACTAAGCGGTCACTCGGTGCTTGTTGGGCGTTTTCGTACGGCAGTGTGCAATTTGGTCGCGAGTTTCCCTGGGGGGTTCTGGGGGGAACGCAGCAGTTGGCGCGATTGACGTTCTAGACATCGAGCCAGATCAGGAAGGCGGTCAAGTCCAAAGCTCCGAAAAATTGTGGGCCGTAGCTCTATGGTGGAGCCGGCCAGGCACCCTTCTGGGCACTTTGAGCCGCACCCAACTCCTCCAACGTCAACATCTCTCGCCCAGATGCCACAAGCTCAAGAAATGGCCTCATGGACAACTGCAAATTATCCTGGAATGGTATCATCTGAGAACGTAGTTTTTCAATTATGCTGCCCGTGGCATTTGCCTAGCTGTTATACGTGAACAGTGTCCGAACACTATACAATTCCGGACTCCCTATGGCAACCAGCAAGATCGAGATATCGAATTCCAGCCAAGCTTCGTCATTAAGAAGTTCAAACATATACTTAATACTCCTGGCAAGATGTCGGCCTCACAGCTTTCCAAAAGCACTCTGACGGTAGCTGCTTGGTGATAAATACCATCGAAGGATATACGCAAAGAAAACCTGACAGCTGATACAGCTCGTCGTTGACACCAACCACGATACCATCTGGCCAACTGAACGTTCAAATGTCTGGATACCCCTGATGATCCTTACTACCATTGGTCCGGAAGGTCACGACGATTATGGACTGGTTCTATCAACTCCATGATACCGATTGCACACACGTAAGAGTGCATCAGCACTGAGGCGTTGACAATGGTCATCCAGGTTGCTGCTCTTGCCTCTGGTCTTCGTGATAAAAGATGGCTAGAGTGATTGGCTCAGCAGCTGCGATCGTACGGGACCTGCCCTCATTCTTGGTTGACCCGGTTACCTTATCTATCCCACTCCTCCGGCACAAAGTCCACGGTTTGCTGTTCCAAACCTCCCTAAGTGAGGCGAGTCTATCAGTGTGGACGATTGGCCAGTATTTCTTGTTTCGTCTCATCTTCTCCCTTACAAACATAACCCCAGCTGACCAGAGAAAGTACCCAGCCGAGCCAGACATTGAGAACCTCTACGGTTTGTTAACTCGGTCTCCCGCGGTTGCCCCGCAGTGTTCTCGACCGGAGGTCATCTGGGACTCCCCTCGAGCATTTCTCACTTCACTCACAATTTCATTCGTTCCCTTGCGTTTTCTTCTCAAGATTGTGGTGATATCACCTGTTGGTTCTAATCCAGGCGCCCATTCACTTTCTGAACGTGAAGATTTGAGCGTGTTGTGGAAACGACGGATTCCCAGAAATCTGGGTATTGTGGTAGATCTTGGTAGGTATTCTAGACACCTCTTCTGATTTTTTCCCCCAACATTCTCCTTCTTAGTACTGACATCTGGATTAGTTCGTTGTCAACCGCGATTCTTGTCTTGCTATCACCACCAAAACAATCATTTCACATCTCAGTTCCTTCTCACCAATCATTCGTGTGACGATCAAAATCGTGATCAAAGTCGAATTCGCCACTGCTCAATTGAGCGGTGATGCTATTGAAGGTATGTCTACCAAAAACAACAAATGTCATAACGGCAACTGGCTAACCGTTGGGCATCAATGTAGCATTTACAGCCAGACATTCGCTGTACAAACCAAGGTCTTGATTCAGCCTGACGTGCTGATGAAGCGAGCGCCATGTCCGACTTAAACATGATCAAGCTCGACTGCCTTCAGGCACTGAAGAGAGAAACATCACCAGCCAAGCTTGAGGCCGCCCTGAACGCCGGCGTTGGTCTTCTAGCAGATATCCAGAAAGCTTTTGCGGATGCAAGCACTGTTCCGGAAATCGCTAAATGGTGCAAGTCCATCCAAGATCTACAGGCGCAGTCCTGCAAACAACGGACCGTGGTTGGCGTGGTCGGCAGCACGGGCGCTGGTAAGAGTTCGGTTATCAACGCCGTTCTCAACCAAGAAAGCTTGGTGCCTACGAACGGTATGCGAGCATGCACCGCGACCATTACGGAGATTCAATACAATGATGCGGACGACAGTCAAGAATCTTTCCGTGGGGAGGTTCATTTCGTCACGGAGGACGACTGGATGAAAGAGCTACACATTCTCCTCGATGACTTGCAAGCGCCTGGCGACAATAGGTCAGGAGATAGCAGCACCGGAGCGGAATTCTTTGGTAGCGAATCCGCCGCCGCTGTTGCATATGACAAAATTAGATGCGTTTACCCCCATTTGCTCAGGGACGATATCTTGAAGCGCAAGTTCACTCCACAGGGTTTAGCTCAGGATCCCTCAGTTTCCGGTGTGTTAGGCACTGTAAAAGAAGTCCGAGCCTGGACTATCAAGGAGTTCAACGAGCAACTTCAAGTCTACATCGACTCTAAGGAGAAGACTAAGGGCCGACAAAAGGACTCAGACAGAACCACCGAATTCTGGCCTCTCATCAAGGTCGTTCGTTTGTTCGTCAAATCCAAGGTTCTTGAACCAGGTCTTGTCCTGGTCGATCTTGTAAGTCATTCATTTTCCCCAAACACTGGCCAAAGCTGACAGTTTGCAGCCGGGTATTCATGATTCAAACGCAGCCCGCTCAACCATTGCGTCCAAGTACATCGAGGAATGCACTGGCTTGTGGATCATTGCTCCGATTACTCGTGCCGTTGACGACAAGGCAGCTCAGACACTTCTCGGCTCTTCGTTCAGGCGCCAGCTCCAATTTGATGGAACATACTCTGCACTGACAGTGGTTTGCTCCAAGTCAGATGATGTGTCTGTCACCGAGTTTCTGCGCACCATGCCCGAAAGTCATAAAGTCCACTCAGACTTTGCGACTTTGCAGGTGCTCCAAGGGAACGAAGAGCAGTTGAAACAAGAGCTGTTGCCCATCAAGAACCTGCTAGATAATATCAGGGCTTCTTTGAAGATTTGTGAGGATAGCATGGAGTTTCTAGAGACGGCTATGGAATCTGCCGAGGACGACCAAGTTTTTGTGAAGACACGACTGTCCGTCGCTTCAAAGCGGAAACCTAAAGACACTGATTTCGATGCAAGAAAGCGCTCGAAACAGGACCAACAGTGGCGTGAAGAGTCTGACTTTGGAGATGATTCCGACAATGACCTCGATGATGCGGAATACGCCGAGGATACTGAAATCATCTCGATGGAAGCTGCAGAGCTGCGCCTCAAAACTCTCAAGGCCAAGAAAAAGGCTCTCAAAGAACAGGGCTCGGACTTGGAGAGAAGAGCTAAGGGTGTCCGCAAGCAACTGAGAGAGACCAGACATGAATGCGAACACATGAAAGCACTTATCAAGAGCGCTTGTATTCAGTTTCGGAATAATTATTCCCGGCCAGTGATCCAACAGCAGTTCGCGGAAGGTATCCGAGAGTAAGTCACGTCAATCTGGTGTAACTGTCTATGGAGCAGGAACCTAACTGAGAGATGATAGGCTTGACCAGGAGAACGCAGCAATGCAAGATGAGGAGAATTTCGACCCTTCGTTCGAGGCCAGGGATTACACAGAGGTTGCAGCACGGCTCCCAGTGTTCTGTGTCTCGAGCCGCGCCTATCTAAAGATGGCGGGCATGCTGAAGAAAGACGAACCCACAACGGGATTCCTCTCCATCGGAGAAACACAGATACCTGCTCTCCAGGAGCACGCAATGAATATCGTTGCAGAGACTCAGGCTGCAGGCTGTCGCCAGTTTTTGACCGACCTTTCAAGCTTCATCATCTCCTTGATCGTGCAGATCATCATCGCTGAGAAACCGCTGAAGCTTGCTGATGACATGAAAGAGAAAGAGCTTGCCTTTCTCAAGGAAGCCTTGGCGAAGCTGACCAAGAAACTACATTCCAAGGTCGACGAAAGTTTTGACGGCTTCGAAAAGGCCATCAAGTCTTATATTGTCGACAAATTTGAGTCCTCAGCTCGAATCGCCACGGACAGGGCGACCGAAACTGCCAAAACCTGGGGACAATTGCGAGATCAAGATGGCAGACGTGGGCTTGTATTCTTGACCTACCGCGCAACCTGCCTCAGGGACGGCGTTTTCAAAGCCGCCAGAGGCCCCCTTGACTGGAACCAGGAGCTATGCGACCCGATTGAGAAGCGAATTGCTCCCAATTGGGAACATGTATTCAGCAGAACGCTTCCGCGTGGTATAAAACAACTGGGAAAAGAGCTAGCGAAGTCACTTGAGGACTTCGAGGGTCGGATGCACGAGCGGCAGCAGCTGCGAGACTCGCCTTCGTATGATCTGGTACGGAACCAGACGAAGACTGTGGCTGAGAACCTGAAAGACACTATTTCTTTGAGGGGCAAGACGTCCCTCAAAACTGGCCAGAAAAACGCCATTCGGCTACTTAAACCTGCTGTTGCGGATATGATGAGAGGGCAGTACCAGGCATGCAGCCAGGAGAGTGGTGAGTGCTGATGCTATTTCCCATGATCAAGATTGGTAATTCCTAACATGATAATAGGTCTTGGTAGTTACAAGAGAATGAAGGATTCTATGGAGGAGTTCATTCAGACCGTGGCCCAGCACATGTTTAAAGCGGCCACAGACCTTGTTGGCGACCGTATTCACAAGACACTGGAAGAAATTCGCTCTGACGTGGATGAACAAGTCAACAGCGTTGTTGCGCGTGTCGATGACGACTACAAATCCCTCGTTTTGGATCGGAATCTCTTCAAAGCTCTCGAGTCGTCTCGCAGAGTTATAAAAGAGATTTTAGAAACAGCAGACAATCGCTTCAAGGCCGCGACACAGGATCCTCAGTCAGATAACAACCAAGCTATCGAACCTTATCGTGGGCGTCTTCCTGACGCGGATCCGTCTACACCAAGCAGAAGATCGCGGATGGCTGATATGATGCATCAATCGCCGTTTTCTCCAACGACCCCTGCGCAACAAAACTCCCCTAGCGGACTTACGTTTTCAGGCGGAGTGTCGAGACTGACATTGGCATCACCGGCAGCGTCTGTCGATGCCGCATCCACTCCTATCAAGAAGGAGAGAGAGTAACTCGACCGTTTTCGCCGGATCACCATTCTCGAAGCCCATCAGGTTGGGCATGTATTATCTCGCATAACCATATTGCTTCCACCATTTCGCTCAAGTTCTTCTCATTCGTCCAAACCACCGCTTTCTGATGTTTGGGCACGATGTCGTATATGATGACATCTCCTTGTTCATATCTCGAACCTGCTTGGGGCTTGAAGCCCTTGATACATGGTCCTCGGAGGCCAAAATGTCAAGAAGAAATTATTTGCTTTTAATGTCCGATGGTTGCTTCTCAGAAGAACAATACGCGACGCATATGTCAAGACAGCGCCTATTGTCAGGAAGATTTCAATGTATGAACAAAGACTACATGTCTGCAGCTGGTTCATGACACAAATCACACTCGAGAAGCCTGAAGCCTTCTGGATTTGGGTAGAAATCATATCGGTTGGCTTCAGATCAAGGAGACCAAACTGTGTAACACGGTTTTGATCCCTCAATCCGAGATATGTAGATAGACCTTAATTGACAGACACTCTTGCCCATCCAGTGAACAAAAGGCTAGTAAATAATTGACCCCCCGTATCTTCCCGCTCGAGATACATCGACTAGTCGGCATGTTTGGACAAGGCGCTCGTTATCTTGACCGAGTGTTCGTTCCGACAAGATAAGTGAGATGCGGCCCTCGGAATATGTGTAAAGGGAACGCATCCGACTTGAAGGAACTCCCGAGTGGTCAATTGGACTTTGAGATGTGTGATTTAGCCTGCATCTCGATGAGGCATACCGGTCAAGGACGATGCCGCTTATAATGATTGTTTTGCGATAACGAGTGTTGACGAACGGGACGGGAACAATGTCCTTAACTGTTTGGGTGTTTTTACAGTACAGTACAACACTGGTTTCAGTTGTCTGTTAGCTTGGTGCTGTTGGTATCCAGCCCGGATTGTCCAAACCTCTCAAGGATAAAATTGAATGGCTAGATAAACGTTAACAAGGTTCAAAAAGACACATTGAACTTTGGAAATACATATTCATAGTAACATCATGCCTTGATCATGAAACTAAAATAGTCAATTATAGGTAGAACACCTGGGAAAGTTGATTCAAGATCTTGAGCTAACAATTAAACCAGTATCGGATTATAGTGCCGTCCTAACAATTTCCCACCAAAGATTATCACCGTTCAGTACAGCCCTCCCACCTGACATCATCCCGCTAGATCAATTCCCCATACAACCTGGCAAACAGCATCATTCCAAGTCCATCCTGTCTTAGATCTCATGTGGGGGATGTCAAGATCTGATCTTTGACTTTGCTGGGTTGCTTGTCCCCTAATCTTGGAAGTTTTACCTTGTCCGACCGCAGTCATGTTCTGGATGACGATACCAATACCGGTATTGTTGATATCTGCCTGCTAAGAGGCCCTATAGCGGTAAGTACCTTTCTGTGTGTATACAGCCCGATGCTGGTTTGTTTGTTAGCTTAGTTTACTAGACACTCCTGGTAGTACGATATACATAGTGCACTAGACAAAATCTAATTGAAATAGCCCTAAAGTTAATACTAATAAATTAATAGGCTTTTGCTGGATTTGATTTAGTATCTTGAATGTGAGAGATGGCATATCCATAGTAAGATTATGTATTAGTTAGCCATGAAAACACATAGGGAAGTTGACACGAGGTCTCGAACTAACAAACAAACCAACCAGTACTGGACTGTATATGCATGCGTCATCTTGGTACATCTGATTATCACGGGATTGTATGGCAGAACCGGTCACCACACCCATTGCTACCATGATCCGCATCCAGGGTTTCTCAGGAGGTCTTAGATCGACAATGCCTTGGCCGAGGATACGTCTCATCCCGTCGGCTTGGTTGCGGGCGGGTGGGCGGCTATAGTTTAGGGTCCGTCTCACGCATTCCTCAATATGTAGCGAGTTTTGTACACCAGTGTAGACGAGTAGGTAGGTACCTTGGGCTAATGCCTGGAATTGACTGAGAGAATGCCTTGTTCTGTAGTCCGTCTTGTTCCTGCCACATTCTGACTGGTAAAGTCACTGGCATATCATGCCATCGTGATACCTACTTGAGGAGATGATGATGATTGGATGTACATGTAACTTACTGCAGATGGAGCTTGGAGCTGGAGGTTCCTTCAAGACATCCACCAAGACTTTATCGCACCTGCTATAAATATCAGATATCAAGGTACCATCTGGGACGCCGATGACCGCCAATAAGCGGCCGCTACCGGTAGGTACCTACTATCTAGTTGCAGCACCCAGGAACCGTTCCATGACTCTTGTATGGTTTCTGGGCGGGCATGGAAAGGCCCGAGGTCCGGGCATGACATCGCCAGATCACCTTACTGCTATCAAACCATCTCACCGCCTTCATCTGGCAGCCTACCTACATGCCTCTCATGATGGATGTTCTGGAACAAAAGCTGGCAAAGCCTGGAAGCTTCCCCAGTCCATCCCCATTCGTCGTGGTGAAACTTGAATTGAGATCTCCGAACACTTTCTGTAGTGTACAAGAAGCCCCCGTTCGGCTGCGGGCGTTATGCGGCGGTGGTTACCTCATTACTGTCACCGGCCACTTCCACCTCCTCCACGCTCCGTCCACGCTCCACTGACCTCCACTACCGTGAGGGGACCACCTGGGGCAGTGCCGTTTTCCACTTCTCTTTGTCTCCATGCGGCGACCTGACCACCGAGCTCACCTCCACCGTCTCTGACTGTCCCCCGACGATCAATTGAAGTTCCTCCTGCAACCTGCACCTAATCACCTACTTCTCAAGAGGTAATCCGAAGCTGCCTCTGCGACACTGCACACTGCGAATCCCTCAAAACCGCAAGATTTACCGTCTCCAACCACCAGGGAAAGAGGCACTCGCCCCCCAAGCCTACAAGCATACGAACAGTATCAGCAAAAACTCTATCAGTCAGCACTTCGTTGCCGTACCTCCGTACCAGGCAACCAACCGCCCAACCAGATCGGCCACATCCGGCCCTTCTTTTCTCTAATCACCTTCGCCTCCTCCGAACGGGTTCGCCGCTATTCTTGGAAGCTGCAACCAACGATTCCAGAACAATAGCCCTCAGCTTCGGACCATGAATGGCTGCCCTCTTGCCGCCTACCCGTTTGGTCATGCATAGTAGTGTTGAATCTGAACGGCCGGCATCGCCTTCCCCCGCAGTTGCACCACCAGCAGCACCCGCAACAATGGACAGCACCGCAAGTGGAAAGCTTGCGGATCTGCAACAAAAACTCTCTGATCTCGACGGCAAGGTCGCTGCGTACCAGCGCGAAATGCTTGCAGAGTTTCACCGGTACATGGACGATTGTCTGAAAAACTACCCCGAACACGTTTCCTCCGAGATCTCACGAGTCATAGCCCAGTCCATGCACAAGTACCCGGCCCTCACCTTGATGGCCCGCGACGCCCGCGACCCTGAAAGCCCCCGACCTCAGTCGCCCACAGACAAGATCCTCGACAGTGAAGCCCTCTCCAGAGACGCCCGCAAGTCGCCTCCGCCCATCTTATACCATACATCCGGCACCCCGAAGGAAGGCCCACGAAGCCCCCACGAGCGCGAGAGAGAGTTTCAAGGCTTGTTCACTCCTAGATACCTGCCCCTGCTCGATAGCACCCACCGCGGCCTGCAGTCACCCCCGGAGTCTCCAGTACCCACGCCGCTGCCGCTTCCCTTGTCTCAAGATAATGTGAAGAAAGTGGATGACCTCAAGGAGCCAGAGGCCATGTTGAAGTTTGACATCCGTCCGACCCCGGTCAGACGGTTGACCGACCGATCCTCATCGTCAGTTGAGTCGTCGATATCTGGAAGCGACTCAAAAGTGCGAAGGAGCGCTTTGCGACGTTCTTCGAGTTCAACCAAGGGCAGCCCACGCCGGGTGCGTTTCGAATTTGCGGGCGAGGAGGTCTTTCCATCTACCTCACCCCAGGACGCTTCTGCCGTTACAGTCCCGCCCCTGCTGAGTGGGGATGATGGGGCTGATGGGGCGCAGACTCCTCCTCCTCCCCCTCCTCCTCAACTGGAGGCCGCTGCGCCTATCATACCGTCGACAAGCGAACCACCTGCGTATACTGGAACATCGCTGCTTGACATTGAAGGCGAGGAGGACGCGCTGCCGAGGCCTAAGAAAGTCTCGTCCACGCAAGCACTTCGCGCCCTTTCTCGGAATGCCCCACTGGATGCCGGAACTTGGACAGAGGTGAACGCGGATCCGGAAGAGACGCCCAAGATGAACGGCGGAAAGCAGGATGATTGCACCCTGAAGCAGGACCAGCCATCAGGGCAGGTTTCTGGAGGAAAGCCGCAAGACGGTCAGCATCATGAACAGCTTCATTCTCAAGCACAGAGCTTTACCAAACACAAAGTCGAGACCAAATCGTCCCCCCTTGCACACCATGTTGTAACGCAACAGTCCAATGGCGACCAGAGTCTCGGATCCCCACTGGAAGAGTTGCAACAGGATGAAGACGACGACAGTTCCGATGGCGACGAATTTCTCTCGATGAAAGCGAAGAAAAAGCCGGTCTCGCCAACTATTCGAAGCTCGTTTGGGCGCCTACCTACGATCTCCGAGACCGCTCAAAACACTGCGAGGTCCTCGCCCAACAACGCTGCTCACACTAAATCGCCAGTAGTGGATGAGTTTGGTAAAGGGAAAGTGGTGGATGACGTACCCGAAGATGCCTTCTTTGACTTTGAGGGAGAGGGCATCTCCACCGGTGTAGAGTCCGATACAGAGAAGTACATTGCCGAAGATGATTTCGACGACAACGACGACGACAACGACGCTGCTGCGAGCAAGGTACCGCCTGAAGAGCGCCCGAGAGTAGCCTCCATAGCTAGCGGATCCAATGCTTCAACAGAGCCAGCCCCGGTCCGCAAGGTTCCTCCGGCTACGCCATCGGCCGCCTTGTTTGGCCATTCGGTCGGATCGTACAAGGGAACTTCCATGCGCATGAACCCCATCAGCAACCCGAAGCTGTACGACGAAATTGCTGGCATGAGAAACGTACACACCTTTGTTGGTAGCGTCGATGGCCGCAGCGGCGTGGAGGCTATTGACATGGGGAGCTACCGTGCATATTTGGTTAAGAACCATGCCAGTGCCACTCCCCGCAGTTTTACGGAGCGATTGGCATTTGAGGAGGCTATGGAGCGGAGGAGGTCAATGAGGGACTCGGACGATGAAGATTTGTAGAAGCATACTAATAATGGCACGCTGTGGTTCGCATGATACCCTGGACGAGCAGAGGGTTGGAAGGAATTACGCATGGAACTGATGAGACAGGAGTTCATGGGATCGGTATTACTGGAGGCAGACATTTCCTCTCTGGGCATTGAATTGAAGCTGCTACAAGCGACGCTTCTCCCTCTATTACCCTGTAGCGGTAAAAGCTTATCATGTTACAAACGCAAGTGGGCATACGAGGAACCTTATAACCTGTTGATTCTGAGCGAGTGGCAGCCAGATGGGAGACATGGCGGGTGGTACACGAAGTCTAATGCTCCGTATGCAATGGGACAATGATTTAATTGGACTTTTTGAAACACGCAATTGCCTATGTCACCATGCCCACAAGTCATCCCCTTCGGGACCACGGACCGGCGGTACCAAAGCCGGACGCTGTCCGTTGTCACTTCGGTGCCCCGGGTCCGGGCAACGGCGGCTCATGCGCAACCAATCAGAAGGAAGGAATTCATGAACCATGCCTTACCTTAACATCCTGGAAGGTCTCTCCCGTCCAAGCTTTGTTTGTCATGGCGGCTTGTCACCTCGCACCACTGATGCACCCCCATTTCATCCAAGTCGTAGCCCGTGTCACAAGTTCCTTCCCGTCGCGATGCCATTCTCAACTGATTCCCAGCAATTTGGCATGGGTGGTTTCCCTTTAGTCTACCGGTGCAAACCCACTTGACCTGAGCTTCAATTACACGGACCGGCAACTAATTCGGTGAACCCTTTGATCACCGAGACTCGCACTTGCCCGGCTGCTGGAAATCTGTACAACTTCACGGCGCCACAAAGACAAAGGAAAGGTGGTGGCGGGCAAGGGAGACCAACATACAGCTAGGTGTCCTCAGAGACAGCAAGGTCCCCAACCAAAATCCGAGACGGGAAAACCAACAAACGAACCAAATGAAATGACACGACGCAACCGCTTCGCGACCAGGTCGCCGCAGCCAACAATTACGGCGGGGACCAAGTCTCTGCGACCAACAACAATGTCTGCTCTACCAACCCTCCTCAACCTCCTCTTCGCTGCCGTCGTGCTCTGCGTCGCCCCATCCCTCGCCTACCAACCTCTCTCCGACACCCAACTCAAAGCCATCCCCGCTCCCCTCAATTCCGACTTCGACATCAAAACCGGCGCGCTCCTCGCCCCGATCCTGATCCCTCGCGTCCCCGGCACTCCAGGACAGGCCAAAGTCCAGAAACACTTTGTCGACTTTTTCTCGCGCGAATTGCCCGAATGGGAGATTTCGTGGCAGAACTCAACAGCCACCACTCCCCTCTCAGGGAAGAAGCAAATCCCTTTTCAGAACCTGATCTTCCGACGGGAACCACCATGGACGAAGGAGCGAGGGCCGGGCAGGGCGGCGCTGTTGACGCTGGTGGCGCATTATGATTCCAAAATCAGTCCCGAAGGGTTCATCGGGGCGACGGATAGCGCGGCGCCTTGTGCGGTGTTGATGCATGTCGCTAGGACGGTGGAGGGGTATTTGAAAAAGGTTTATGAAAAAGGGGTTTCCGGGGAACTGGGGAAGGAGGGGAGGGAGGACCAAAAGAGGGAAGTGGGGGTGCAGATATTGTTGCTGGATGGCGAGGAAGCATTTAAGGAGTGGACGGATACGGACTCGCTTTATGGTGCTAGGTGAGTTTTGCCTGTTTTTTTTTTTTTTTTTTTTTTCTCCCTTAGTCTGTTGGATGATCTATCAAGGAGAATGAAGGGAGGCTAAAACCATACTGCTTATGAAAACAGATCCCTCTCCGAAGAATGGGAAAATACACCCTACCCGGCCCTGTCGCGCTTCGCCAACCCCATTCGGCAAATTGACCTCTTCGTCCTGCTCGACCTCCTCGGCTCCGCCGACCCGGGCGTGCCCTCGTACTTCCAAACCACTCACTGGGCGTACAAGAACATGGCCACGGTTGAGGCGCGCATGCGCGCCCTTGGACTCTTGGAAAGCAAACCCAAGGACCCGTTTCTGCCCGAAGCCGGCAAGCTCAAGGAGCATTTTGGCAGGACGTACGTGGGCGATGATCACCAGCCTTTCATGGCTAAAGGAGCGCCGGTGCTGCATATGATCCCGACCCCGTTTCCGCATGTGTGGCATAAGATTGAGGATGATGGGGAGCATCTGGATTTGCCCACGGTCAGGGATTGGGCGAGGATTGTGACGGCTTTTACTATTGAGTATCTGGAGGCTACGACAGGAGAGGCTGGGGCTGCTGGAGGTGGGAAGGAGGGAAAAGGGGAGGATGCTGCTGCTGCTGCAAAGCAGGGGACTACTGATGGGGAGGAGAAGGTTGGGGAGGAGAAGGTTAGTGAGGGTGCTGGGAAAGGGCCTTGATGGATATCTTGTCTCATTGTTTTGTTGCTCACTAGTCGGTTTATAAGAAGCTGTCAATATACATGGTTCAGGTAAGCAGCTAGGTATAAAGCGGTTGTGGATGAAAGTGCAGTGCTGTTACGGTACACTCTTAGTCTACAAGTTTAGACTATGCTCCTTCGTGGTCTGATCTACAACTTAGAAGGTGTAATCGGATGGGATGGTGGAGCGATGGAGACGCGACTTCGGGACGGAATCTCGACGTAAAGTATGCCCCCGGTTTGCAAGTAGCGTTCGTTGTCGAACGGTTTCTTGACTGCAATTCCCCAATCCAGAGTTCAAATCATTTGCTTGAGTGATTTAGGGCAACGTTCTGTCGTATCGCAAGCTCATTGTAGAAGTAAGTTTTCGCCATTCCAGAGGCATCCAACATCGATGTAGAGGTATCTTTAGGGGTGCAGCGGGGTGGCGGGGCAGGACCATGTTGGCGCTGTAAAAAGTGGAATTCAAGGAAGTCACAACGTCAAGTTCCATCGCCTCAGGTCCCCACTGCCCTTCCTGGCGCGCGCCTGCCCAACCCAGGGCAACCTTATTTCCACTTCCATGTCCACGTTTGACCCTTCCACCATCCGTCCTCATTCCGACATCCACGCCTGACTCTTCCACCGCCTGCGAATTCTACTTTACCGTACGCCATCTCCCATAAAGTCTGAACCGCCTCTCCCATACCGCTTACGATCGCCAATCCCATCTTCATATTCTTCCGGACTTGTTAGATTTATCGGCGCAGAGACTGCTTCAGTGCATCTCTGCTCTCCATCACGGCTTCTCACGGGCGACAGCTGCCTGACCAACAACACCCAACAGGCGACGAATCCTTCAATCCCCTGCGCAAGACGGTCACTATTGGCTCTGTACTTTTCAACCGCGCCCATACGACCCAGCAACAACCTTCGCCACATCCTCATTATCTAGTTCAACACTCCTCCATTTCTTCAACCACAGCCCAGTCGGATCTATCTTCGGCACTCAGAGAAGCCATGGACGGCAGGAAACACCCAAGCTCTTTCCAGCAGCTCGAAAAGTTGGGAGAGGGTACTTATGCTACTGTAAGAGATCTCTTCTTGGCCCAGGACTGTCCCTCAGTGAACACGGGGAAGTACTTGTAGGGTGCAAATGGCTGACACTACGTCCTCAGGTCTTCAAAGGCCGCAACCGACAGACGGGCGAGCTGGTAGCTCTCAAGGAGATTCACCTTGACTCGGAAGAGGGAACACCGAGCACGGCAATCCGCGAGATCTCGCTCATGAAAGAACTGAAGCACGAGAACATTGTTGCTCTACACGATGTTATTCACACCGAGAACAAGCTTATGTTGGTGTTCGAGTACATGGATGGCGATCTCAAAAAGTTCATGGACACCAACGGCGAAAGGGGAGCCCTGAAGCCACATGTCATCAAGTCCTTCATGCATCAGTTGCTCAAGGGTATCGACTTCTGCCACAAGAACAGGGTCCTACATCGAGACCTGAAGCCGCAGAACCTCCTTATCAACAGCAAGGGCGCTCTGAAGCTGGGAGATTTCGGTTTGGCGAGAGCATTCGGTATTCCAGTTAACACCTTTTCGAATGAGGTCGTCACTCTTTGGTATCGAGCTCCCGACGTGCTTCTTGGAAGTAGAACCTACAACACCAGCATCGACATTTGGTCCGCGGGATGTATCATGGCTGAGATGTTCACCGGCAGGCCCTTGTTTCCCGGCACCACTAATGAGGATCAGATTGTTCGCATTTTTAGGATAATGGGCACGCCGACGGAACGTACATGGCCTGGTCTCACCTCGTTCCCCGAGTACAAGCCTAACTGGCAAATGTATGCGACACAGAGCCTGTCATCTATCTTGCCTCAAATTGACCGCGACGGCATCGACTTGCTTCAGCGGATGCTCCAGTTGCGGCCCGAATTGCGAATTTCGGCCCACGATGCGCTTCAACACCACTGGTTCAACGACCTGGTCCACCAACAGCATCATCACCAAGCGCAGCAGTCCATGATGCAACAGCCGCCAATGATGCAGCAACAGCCAATGATGCAGCAGCATAGAGGCTATGGACAGCCGCAACCCAACTACGAGGGCTACTAGACAGAGTATCTTCCAAAAACCGGAAGGCAGACATCGCCGGTTCTGGGGTTCCCTCCACCAGTTTTGTGGCATCGGCCGATGCCAGTAGTGCCAGGGTCCCCTCCACCAGGATTCAAGATTTGGGAGCAACTGATGCCAGTAAGAGAGGGCTGCTACACCGAAGAGCAGTTTCTAGGAGGGCGAACAATGCCAGAGTATCCTCCACCAGGGAGATATCCTCAACCGATACCCGGACATCCTCCAGCATGGAGAAATTATTCATCAATACCCGGGCATCCTCCAGCATGGAAATGTTCTCAACCAATGCCATGGTATCCTTCAGGTCAACATGTTCAAATGGGGCATTTACCGAGAGAAAATGATTTGGTTGACCATGGCATGGGTTCAACCACAGACCAATTAATGGCGTGGAAGGGAAGTTCTTGGAGTGACAATTCTGGGATGGACATGCCACGGCGGTCACTGCCCGTGGACCCCAGTTTCAACCCGTTTACACATAATAATGGACAGCGAAATATAATAGTGCCTTATGGGCCTCCAATCCAAACAAATGCAATGGGAAATGGACACCCAAACGCGATGCCGCCGCAATTTCAGTTGCTTCAATTATCTTTCGTGCCTCCGGTTCCCCCCCCTCCACCGGCATTATCGAGGTTACCGGCGTCACATGAGCCTCGACATCAACAGATGGAATTTCCACAAAATTTCCAAACTCAACCCCATGATGTGAACGGTTTCGGACCTAACGCTGGAGAGAGAAGTTCATCTGTATTTCGGTTTGAGAAGCTGCCGCCTGATTCTCGATCATTTTGACCAGTTTGGACAAGAACATACGCCGATGTTGCATGTTCCTCGAGCTTTACTCGCGAAGCTGATGACACACGGCGGACGAGCACAATAAATTAGTAGACGGTAGTCTATGTTATTATGCTTACTTGGTATGGTCATTATCTACACAACGGAGGCATAGCTGGAGCCTTGGTCGAAGATGACGGGAAAAGGGTAGCGCACGCCAGAGGAAGATCGTTGTGCCGTACTTATGCATTTGCCTTTCCTTTAAATAATTGTTACGATTAGCAGCGGAAGTTTCCATGTATGTTGAATTAAAGCGAACATTGATGATAGTCTTCATTATTCACATTGTTCTCGTATTTGTTTACTGGGGAGTTTAGGGTGTTCTCTTAGTCGGGTTGAATTGTATATTTGCAATTCAAGATAGCACCAACGTTATACATGAGTTCTGAGACATGCTGGTGATGAGATGTTCGGCTATTATTACGCGGTGTATGTACATTGTCTAAACAAGCGAGCTTTCATCCCAAACCAAACGGCCTTTCGCGTTCGTTGGCATCGATCCTCTTATCAACACAATGACCTTTTCATGTTAGGTTCTTTCCAGGTTGTTGGCTTGTTGCATTACTGTGTAGGTTCCCCAGAACTCCACGCTGCCCGTTGTTGAAGGTGGAACACCCCGCAAGAGGATGGGCGGGAGCGTCTGCTACGTATCGATAAGCCTTGATCCCTGGCCGGCCCAGAGGTGCCTGGAACCTGCCCGCCTGGGCCTGCTCCACCTGATTTGTTGTAGCCGCAGTGTAACCAGCGCCGGACATGGCGCACTGCGACGGACTTCGACGCTACCAAAGAGTCGGTACTGGCACTGCCCGAGCTTGATCCATGCCCTGCAACAACCGTACAACAACCCATTTCAGTTTCCAACGACAACTCCCCGTTGTGTCTCCTGGCCACCGACAACGCAACTTGTCGCGACAACCAACCGACCAGCCGTCTCTCCATCGACAACCCCCAGCTTTTCACTGCATGCTCTAAATCGCCTTCTCGGGAAACAGTCGCCGCGATGGCTGCCGTAGAGTCACGCAAAGGTAAGGCACACCTTCGGACGCGCCCGCAAGACGATGCCTTTCCACAGAACGACGCTGACCATGCTCGTGCGAGGGAACAGACGAGGAGGCGACCACTATCAAGGTTGCCTCGTCAAAAGCGATCCGTAATGTCGTCAAGCTGAAGAGGCAACCAACAAATAAGCTCTCCAAGCCAGGCAATTGGAAGGAAGCCACAACACCGCTTGACAGTATGTACTCTATATCATCGAATCCATCAACCTGTTCCTCTTCCGCCACTAACCGGTTGCTTACACAAACATAGACGAGGAAAAGAAAAGGGCCAAAGAGAACGCCGCCCTTCCGAGCCCCATCATCAATCAACTAGACCCCCCCGCACAAGTCACATTCGACACCGGCCGGCCGCTTGACGATGTTCCCGATCTGATCTACTGCAAGCTCTGCAAGAAGGGAGTCATCAGGACCTCTGGGAAGGAGCATATCGACGAATGTCTTCGTATCAAGAGGGAAAAGGCGCAACGTAAAAAGGAGGCCCGCGAGGCACGTGAGCGCGCCAAGGAGGCTGCTCGCGAGGAGGAAGCCCGCAAGAACGACCCCGACGGCGCTGCGGGCCGCGACGATGACGACAGCGACGCCGACGAGCCCACCGAGAGAAAGGGAAACGGTGGAAAGACGACAAAGAAGGCTACCGGCAAGAAGCCCGATACCGGCGGAAAGAAAAGGAAAGCCGAGGGAGACCTGGAGAAGGGCAAGGCCAAGAAGAAGAAGGATGAACCGAAACCCAAGACCGCCAAGCCCAAGGGCCCTGTGGATGTTGAGAGGCAGTGTGGTGTCATCTTGCCCAACGGGCAGCCTTGTGCCCGTTCGCTCACGTGCAAGAGTCACAGTATGTCGGCCAAGAGATCCGTGCCGGGGCGATCCCTACCGTATGATATGCTCCTTGTGGCATACCAGAAGAAGAATCAAGCAAAGCAGCAACGAGCCGCCATCGACGCCAATGCCCCGTTGGAGGACGACGACGATCCGAATGCCGGTGCGGTGGACAGTGACGAGGAGACAGCTGCCGTTATGAACGCCCTGGCGAACTGGCGACCGCAACCGGTTGTCCCTCAACCTATCATTGCACCGATCAAGAGGCAGTACCAGCTGGCACGGTTGCACGAGCAACTCCAGACCGTAACGAACGGCGGCCGACTCAACATCTTCAAGGTTGTTGGATTTGGTGCTCAGAAGCTCCCGGAGGGCCATCCCGGTCTCTATCAGCAAGAGGAGGAGCATGCCGGTGACCCTGACGTCTCCATGCAAGAAGTATTTTCCCGACGTTCATCGACTTTCAGTCTTGCAGGACCACCGCAGCGAAGGCCATCAGTGACAAGCAGAGCTTAGGATGCTCGGCCACATAGCCCCTCATCGCAACATCGAAATCCTAAAACTGCTTTATCCCCAATACTGGAAAACTACACGGTATCCAGTACTTTTGCTCCGAAACGAAAACGGCTGACACACCATCTTGAGGAGGAACTAATGGATATATCACGACAAAAACGAGTGCGCTTGACTCCTGAATTAGGTTCGAAATCATCACCGAACCCGAAGCTGGTACGGCAAATTTTGCCGCCACATGTGTCGGATTTTATGAAGAGTCCCAGGGACCCAAGGCGCCCAGCCGACACAAAGGAACAATACCTCAGACAGACATTTGCTCCTGTTAGGAGAGACGATAGCGTCCGATCACCTCATCCAGAAAGTTCATCTAGACCTGGAACTGGGGCAAGCTCACATAAGCCGCCCAGGCAGGCATACCCCGCACAAAAACCTCCAAGCCGCGATGCAGAGCGGACTGTTGCCCGTCCAGGACCGACTAAACATTACTACAACGAATCACCCGCTCGGAAGGATTCAGTTGGTGTCGCGCTTCGAGGAGGCGGCTCAGAAGTCGGATCGCCAAGAACGCATAACCTTGTGAGCCCAGCAGCCGCACAGACCCCAGCTCGACATCCAAGTCGGCGGCTGTCCTCAGCATCACCCGGTCAAAACTCTCTACACCTGAGTCCCCATGTTCCGGACGAAGTTCGCGCAATGGATGCTAAGATATGTCCAGAAATCTCACCGGAAGAAATGGACATGCTTCGGGAGATATACATTGCTTGTCAGCAGCACCCGGAAAAGTTTGATGAGTACCGTCAGGAATACCAAGCTTATCAGCAACGACTACAAGCACAAAAGGGCTTAAGCGGAGGAAAACAACCAACCGGACCTCAGTCCGCAAGCCCAGCGACTGAGGTTCCCCCTCGTTCAACGTTTGATAAAACCGAACATCATGAAACTCAGCGTGCGCTGGAACAAGCGCAATTCAAACCTACTTGCTCCCCTCGCCACGGCTCTAGTACGGTTTTCCGTGGCGGCACTGCTTCCCCTTCGAACACCCTAGCAGGCACACGCCAACGGCCGGAAGTATCGTCACCGGTAACCAGCACACAGCAAAGTTTACCCGACACTCCACATACCCCTAGGAATCATCAGCGCAAGCGGTCTGGTCCTATACCACGAATAATACTCAAGGTACCGAAGCGTACCCTGCAACCGAATATGGGCGTTTCACCAATGAAAGGAGGTTCTCAACGAGATGTTGTGAGTTCACCGAGGAAAACTCACGGCCCAGTGGGAGGCAAAAGCCTCAAGGACTCTTCGGTCGAGGAGAGCAGTCTGGTTGGTACTGATGACTAGAGGGCATCCGAAAAATTAGTAAATCGAAGCAGTTGGATCACCTCCGCTTAACTAGAGGCATGGCTGCTCGCGACAAAGGAGTCTACGGCCACGCAGCCTAGAATTATCCGATATGAAGTCAGGATATTGAGTTTGATAAATGCGACTACACGATGGTCCTACACTGGGGGGATTTGGATCTCCAGTTGTTATTTGCGTGGGCTTTCACCATGAGCCTGTGGTTCCTTTTACTGCACTACATCTATGCTGCTTTTCCTTTATACCTACTTTCTCATTTGGCGTTGGAAGTTTCAGAGGAACAAACGGGTTTTGCATTTCGGATACCTCACTGGTTGGAACTTGGAAGGCATAGGCGTTGGTCGGTTCTCTATACAGTTGGAACTATTGACCTATCTTTACGTATTATCTTCTTTTGCAACTTTTTCTTTCTTTCTCTTCTTTTCTTTTGGTTTTTGGTTCTGTGTTGACGGGGCTTGCTTGGTCAATATATCGACTCAAGCGGATAGGGTAGGTTTGGGTCTTCAGTTAGTTACAGATATACGAAGACGAACCTGGTGGGTTTGGTTTGGGAACCACGACTGGGGTTCGAAGCGATCAGCCGGTATGATAAGAGGTAAATATAGAAGGGTGAATTTGATCAGCGTGATGCCTCAACTACGATGGATAGCTCTTCGAGGTATTGATAAAGTGTCTTTATGAGTGACATATATTTATACTTGTATGTTTTGCTACCATTTGAGGATTGAATTGGAATAAACAATGAATAGCACATGCTGCAAAAACTGCCGATCACTCAAGAGACCCCATGTGCGCCAAGGACGGGATGACGTCGGATCGCGCCCACACCTTCAGCAAGGCTACATAGTGTAGTTCTAGACCTCGGCATCTGCCCGACATTGTCCAACCCCAGGTCTTCTTCCTTTCTCGCATCATTGTTACTTACCTATCATCATCGATTTTTATATTGATTTTCTGCCGTGTCTTCGTTGTTCGCTTGGTTCTCTTTTCTTACCAGCGGTGCTCCTGTTGTTCACGTAACATTCTTTCCATCTAGCCAACGTCAAATTCCCATTCCACTTTTATCCCCTCCCCTCCTCTCACCAACTAACTTACCGCTCTAGATTTCTTACTTCTTTGTTCCACACCATCATCACTTAACCCATCACCACCACCAGCAGTTCCCCTTAGCCTACCCTAACCTAACCTAGCCTAGTTTACAACAACAATCTCCACCACCAGAGAGAGAGAGACAGACACAAAAATGCCCCGAGCATCCAAACTCCTCCCCTCCCTAGGGCACGCCGCCTCCGGCGCCGGCGGTACCATCATCTCCACCTTGACTACCTACCCGCTCGACCTCGTCAATACGCGCCTGAAAGTACAACGCCAACTGCGCGCCGACGGGGCCATTGGGCCCGAGGACGGGTACCAGGGGGTTTGGGATGCGTTCCAAGCGATTTACGAGAGGGAAGGGGGGCTCAAGGCGTTCTTTGCGGGTTTGGGGCCGGATTTGGGCAAGAGTGCCGCGGATAGTTTTTTGTTCTTCTTGTTTTATACGGTATGTTTTTTTCTTTTTTTCTCTTTTTATTTTGGTTCCCCTATGGTGGAAGGAGGTGGTGGTGGTGGTGGTGGTGGTGATGGTGCTGTAAGGAAGGGGAAGTAAGGGGGGAGAAAGAGAAAAAGAAAAAGGAAAAGAGAGAAAAAAAAGAAAAGGGAGCAGAAGGTAAAAAGTCAGATGATGCTAATAAAATGACGACAAAAAAAACAGTGGTTCCGCGCCAAACGCCTCCGCGTCAACGAACCCTACCTCAAAATCCTCGAGGAACTCGCCGTCGGCGCCGCGGCCGGCGCCTGCGCAAAGTTATTCACCACGCCCGTCTCCAATGTCGTTACGCGCCGCCAGACAGCCAACCTGATTTCCTCCTCCTCCTCCTCCTCTTCTTCTGCATCACGAAGTAGTAACCCGTCTACCCCTACCGACGGCAACAGCCCAGTCCGACGACGACCAAGTTCCCCCCCGGCTGCGGCTGCACCAGACCTCTCCTTCACCGAAACCATCATTTCCATCTACCGCGAGCGCGGCTTGCTCAATGGGCTATGGGCTGGATACTCCGCCAGCCTGGTATTGACGCTCAACCCCAGCATGACCTTTTTCCTTCAGCAGATTCTGAAGCGGATGTTGGTTTCGAGGGAAAACTGGGAAGAACCAGGGAGAGCCATCACGTTTGTGATTGCGGCGCTGAGCAAGGTCATGGCTACGAGCGTGACGTATCCGTTCCAGATTGCCAAGGCGAGGGTGCAGGTTTCTGCGGCGCCTTCGTCGGCATCGGCATCGAGGGATAATATTAGTAAGGGGAAGGAGAAGGAAATGGAGGGGGAAATGAAGAAGGTGAAGAAAGCAGCAGCTACTACGGGAAGGAGAAGGGAAACCATCTTCTCCACGGTCCGCCGAATAGCAGAAACCGAGGGTGTTAAAGCCCTGTACGATGGCATTGGAGGGGAATTGCTCAAGGCGTTCTTCAACCATGGCTTGACCATGTTGTCAAAGGATATCATCCATGGGTTGATCATACAGCTGTACTTTGCTGTGGTGGCGGCGTTGAAGGATTATAGAAAGATCAGGGAGAGCGTGAGCAAGAGAGCGAAGAAAGCCGGAGGGGATATGAGCAGGTATTATATGCTTGCGACTTTGGCCGCGCAGATGTTGAGGCAGAGGGGGTTGAGGCAGACACTGGCAATGGCTGGGGTTCTTGGAAAGGGGAAGGTTGAGTAGGAGTGAAGAGGTGTTGGGTTGATCATGATGGTGGGTGTCGGTGTAACAATGCGCGGCTGCATAGGGTGGCGTATAGGCGTATGTGTGTATTTATTAGGGATGAGCACGTTTTGAACTAAATCTTTGTCTCTTTTGGCTGAGGGTATACATATCTGTGAGGGTGATGGTGAACGTGAATGTCTAAGGGCAGAACTTAACACGCGAAGCCGACTCCGTCTTTCTTGACCTGATTCGTGCCTCCAGCTGAGAACCCCGTACCTTCGCGCCTCAGTTCCACCAACCCAGGTTTTATCGTCTCCTTCTCTTTCTTCTCCTTCTTCCCTTCTTTCCCCTTTTTACTACTCGACTCTTTCTTCTCCGTCAACTCCGTATCGCAGACATAGCACACGATAGCATCGGGATCTACATCCGGCGCATGCGGATCATGATGCCCCGTAGGCTTCATGAACTTGTCGACGCAGTTCTTACAAAGCACATGGCCACATGGCTTCGCCAGAGTTGCTCGCGACGAATTCGACAGCGCCTTCTTGCAGGCGGGACATATCCTCGTCTTGGTTTTCGTGCTCGAGTCCTCCTCTTCCGTGAAGTTGATAGCGACAAGCGTGTGGAGCGAGTAAAAGTGCGGTCTGTCTTCGGGCGCGGCGGGACATGTCGGTTGGGTTTTGACTTTCTTCTTGATATCGTGGAGGATGTCTTTGGAGTTCGAGGAGGGAGTTACGGAGGGCGACCAGAAGGAAGGGAGTTTGGGTTTCGAGGCCTGTTACGGAACAAGACAAGTTAGTATGGAGCGCGATCGATATAGGGTGGAAAAAGCAAGGGGAGGCATACCTTTTCGTCTTCAATGGCTCTCCTTGCTTTGGCTCGCTCCTCTTCAGCAATCCTCGCAACCTCGTCTCCGTCCAGAGAAAACTTGCGTTTCTCTCCCCTCTTTTCTTCTATCCTCTTCTCATCTCCATTCTTAGTTGATGTCGATTCGGTTTTTGGTAATGTGATGTCCCGCTTATCATCCCCATTGCCATTGCCTCTCTGAATCGACAATCCGGCCTGCGTAAGCTCGAACTCTCTAATCGCCCTCTCCTGTGCCTCGGCATCTCTTCTTGCTTGCTCCTCAGCTGCTTCTTTCTCCTCCTGCTCCCGCAGCTTCTCGGCGCGCTTGATCTCTCGCTTTTGCGCCAGGATGTTGGTCAGAGCGCATTCGCGGCAGAAAATGTCGCCGTGCAGACAGGCGACCGGGTCGATGGCGGTTTCGAGGCAGAGAGAGCATGACGCAAACGGCAGGAAGGATTCGCGCGAGAGACGGGCGGATGAGGCGGTCCAGGCGGCTTTAGCTAGCTGCCGCTCGTGCGAGGTAAAGACGGGTCGACTGGTGTTTCTTTTGCCTGACAGGTCAGAGTCTTGAACGTCTCAGATGTGTGGTAGAAGGATTGGAGGGGCGGGCTTACTGTGTGACATGTTGTTGGCTATGCTCGTTCAATGAGGTCTGTTGATGTTTTGGTAAAAGTTTTGGAGAAGCAGTCGGGCAGTCGTGAGGTCACAGGAAGATGAGAAGTCGCGAAGTTCCCTCTGAACAGCCCCAGGCAGGGACCTAACAATTGCAGCACAACAGCAGTTCCCCAGGCCCACACTGTTTGCGCGGGCGCCAGTGGACGCGGCTCTTGTGGAGTGGATTAGGGGATTGTGGGGAAGACTTGTCCACTGTGGTGACCCTGTCAGGCACATGCTGAAATCGTTGGCCCGTCGGATTTTACAGCGGACGGACGGGATGAGGGTTCGTTAGGTCTGCTGTGCGCTGTGACGCCGATCGCCTCCCGCCTCTTGGTTTCCATTGCAGAAAGTTGGGAAAATGGAAGAGACGGGGGAAGGACCGAAATAAAGTCGAATGTTTTTTCGCCTCAACAATTCTCATTGTCATGTAACCTACCCTAGATATCTGGCGTTTTTCCAATTAATTCCAAACCTGGTATCATTCTCTTCCCACTGCTTTCGTGTTGATTGTCGCGGGGACGGCTATCCATGGGATCGACCGCTTGCTCCATGTTCCACTCCAGTTGACCTGACTTTCTGCGGATGGCAAAAACGATGAAAAGAAGCCGGGCTTGACTCGTGATAAAAATTTCAAAATACCTACATTGGTCACAACACTTCTCTTTTTTTTTATACCGCGCCACTCGCTGCTTTCTCTTGATTCCTACCAGAACAGAGTGATACCTTGACCGTCACTCTCGCCCTTTTCGGGAATGTCGTCCAATATGACGTCGTCGGCAAATTATAAACCACCAGCACCGGCTGCAGATGCTGCCACTGGCTCTCATGGCACCACCGCCACCACCACCAGCAGCACGATGGCCTCGCCGCAGCAACAGCAACAGCAGCAAATACAGAACCACGCACAAGCGCCTCACAGCCCTAATCTCCCATCGCGAATTGCGTCGGTGATGATTATGGGCCTGACGGGTATCATCTCCAGGACATTCTTGTACGGCTTCAACGACATTGAAGTCAAGGGCCTCGACAGGTTCAAGCAGCTTCTAGACAGTCGCGAAGATCCGGAGAGGAGAGAGCGTGGACTTCTTACAGGTGCGTTAATGAATAAAGTTCTACTACATGTGGAAATGTCCATGCTAACAGTCTAAATTGCAGTCTCCAACCATATCAGTGTGTGAGTGCCTCAAGTCCGTGAGCTTCAGACAGTCAACCCAGAACACCAAAGCTCACATGTGTGATGACATTATGCAGTCTCGATGACCCGGTAGTATGGGGTGTCCTCCCATTAAGTTACGCCTTCAACCCGAACAATCTCCGCTGGACACTGGCCGCTCATGACATTTGCTTCGCCAACCCGTACGTCTTCTTCTTCCAACTCCCTCATCCCTGACCCCGTCCCATCCCATCCTATCTCATCCCATCTCATCTTATCTGATCCTAACCTCCTTCACAGAACATTCTCCGCCTTCTTCACAGCCGGTCAAGTCCTCCCCTGCCACCGCCTCAAACACTCCCCGCACGGCGGTCTCTTCCAGCCCTCCCTAACGCAAGCCATCCGCCTCCTATCCTCCCAACCTTTCACACAACCCGGCTTCTCCCCCGCGCCGCTGACCTCTCCCGTTACTTCCCTCTCGACCCCTTCAGCAGTCGACATCCCCGACCCCTTCACCATCGGCACCCTCACCTACTCCACCACCGGCTCCGACTCCCACCCCGCCCCCTCCATCTACACTCGCAACCGACACTCGTGGGTGCACGTCTTTCCCGAGGGCTTGGTCCACCAGCACCCGCAGGTCGATCTGCGGTACTTCAAGTGGGGCGTTGCGCGCCTGATTCTCGAGAGCGAGCCGGCTCCCGACGTGGTGCCCATGTTCATCGATGGTACGCAGCACGTGATGAACGAGGAGCGCGGGTTCCCGCGCTTCCTGCCGAGGATCGGCAAGAAGATCAGGGTGGCGTTTGGGGAGGTGGTGGATTACGAGAGGGAGTTTGGGGATTTGCGGAGGAGGTGGAGAAGGGAGGTGGAGAGGGTGCGCCAACAAGAGGAGGAAGAGGTAAAGGCTGCTGCGAAGGCTGCCAAGGGGAAGGAGTTGGTTACTGTGGAGAACAGCAGCAGCAAGCCGAGGTTGCTGGGTGACTTGCCTGAGCAGCTCAAGTATTCAGAGGAGGCGCAGAAGATCAGGATCGAGTGCGCGAGAAGGATGAGGGAGCAGGTCCTCAAGGTCAGGAGGGAGTTGGGCGGGTATGACGAGAGTGATCCCAACTTTGGAGAGGCGAGCACGTGGGCGCCGGACAGGAAGGTCAAGGCGGAGAAGTATAAGAGCAGGGTGGATGGGAGCGAGATTAACCAGGACTAGGAGTGCCGTGGCTAAGTTTGCTCGTCTATCAGTCTGCGACTGTTGTGTGTGCGAGACAGTGTGGGAGTTGAGATGGAGTGAAGAAAAAAGAAAAAACAGGGTCCAGAGAGGCCAGAGCGCGACTGGCTAGCTGCTTGAGTCTCAGCCACCTCGGTCCGAGAAGAGAGGAGAAGTAGAGGCATTATGGATGTATCTTGTATGTATATAGATTTGCGGTTTGGTGACATGGGCGTCTGTGATAGTTGGCGAAATCTAGAAAGCGGGCGGATCAAGATAGAGCAAGGTTGGGAAAAGCAATTTATTGTATTTCATTCACGAGATACATCGGGAGGGCTAGCAGGGCTTGAAAACAGCCTTCTTGCGTTGTCTACAGTCGAGTATGATCATGAGAGTAGGGGATATTTGGGGATCTTAGATCAAACAGGCCTATTACACATTTGGTCTATTTGACACGATTGGTGTTCATTGGCCTGGTTTATGAGCAGTAATATATACCGTGAAAAGTCATTCAATAACCCCGGCTTGATTCCTTTTAGCTGTGAACATAATACCCAAGTGAGCCAAGTGTAACTTGGGAGAAGATTTATTGTTTTGGGTATCCAAAGGGGTAGTTTCTGGCCCTCATTGCCAGCCTTCCATATACCCATATAAGTTCGCCAATCCTACAAAAATTTGCCCATTCCCATCTGGTCGCCTGATCTGGATACTCCCAATTCCTTTCGTAAGCCACCCCCTTTCGCCGGATATCAAATATCCAACCCTGTCAAGAATACGACTCCTCCGGCCTCTCGTGATACCAAAGCAGCTGCTGCCCTCCCGCGAGCTGCGTCTGTGGTTGCGGCACAACAATAGGCGCCTTTTTCCTCGATGAAGGCAGAGATTCTATCGACGTTAACACCCCTTCCGGCGGCGTATCGGCCCTCTCTTGCTTGACCTCGTGGTTGTTGCTGTTGTTGTTGCCGCTACCTCCGACACCGCCATCCACCACCACCAACGTCTCTGCCAACCCTCGCGCCTGCAACATCCCAGTATCCGCAAAAATAGTCTCGAGCATATTTCGGGCAAACACCGTATAATGTCTTGGCACACCCGGTGCTGACCCAGCCACTTGTATCTGGAACAGCAAATTCGGCAAACCCACCACGCCCATTCCCGCCCCTCCACTCGTCATATCGATATAATCTCGATGCTGCCTTTCCAGCCTCGGGTGTCGGTAATGCGTCGGGATGGAAACCAACAAGTCGCGCGCAATACGCCGAATGGTGGCAAGGATGTTCTGCTGTTCCGCCGCCATGTTGGCGGGAGAAAACACTTGCGCACAGCTCACCGGGTATCGATCGCTAAACTCGATCAGCAGCCGACACGTGAGCAGCCGCAGCCAGCGCTGGTGGTTCCAGCCGCGGGCGACCCAATGGTCGGCATAAACATGGTAGCTATCTTCGAAGACGCCGTCGGAAGGGAAGAAGCCGGGGGCGCAGCGTTCTTCGAGGACGGTCCATATGGAGCTGACACTTCCTTGGCTGTGCTGGCGTTCCCAGGCGTCGAGCTCGGCGTCGATGGCGAGGGCGCTCCGGATGATTTGCGAGGTTTTGGGCCGTCCGTCGATGAGGGCGTAGTTGTTTAGGTAGGCATTTAGCTCGAGCAAGCGAGTGGCGATGTCGAGGATCTCGACGGCGGGTTTGTCGGAGGGTGCGGCGAGGCGGTTGCATAAATCGAACCAGCCGCTGTAGGCAGGTGGGAGGGCGAGGTTGCCGACGTAGAATGGGTTGAGCTGGTGGTTGTGTTAGTCTAACTGAGAATCGGTAGAATGGGTTGAAGTTGGGGGGTTGAGGGTACCAGGGCAAGACATAGTTGTAGGAAACCACGCATCAGATCTTGAGGTAAGTTAGGAATACATAGAAAGTTACTGAGTAAGGCTGTGGCTCCCATCAAGTGGGTTCGCACCGCCTCGGTTGGTCGACCTTTGTTTCGGATTACCTGAAAAACATGTTAGTAACACCGTCCAAGAATTAATGATACATAAGAGAGAGTCCTCACTTCATAGATCGCAAGCATGATGACAGTTCGTAAAGAGATATCCAAGTTCATTGCCTGAGGGTTTGCTATCGAGGATGCCGTATGTTGAAGTGCCAAGCCGTATTTTTGCCTCGCCATGGTAACCAATGCTTTGTTGCCAGTGAGGTTGGACATACTCGCCAATCCTACGGCTGCCATCATGTCCCGAAACTCAGGGGCATGAATCCATTCCACCATCCGCAGCTCATGTGCCGCGGTAGGTTCGTCCGGATGTCCCACCACATAATGCTCGACGTAAAACTGGATGGCCTGGTCGTCCTTAGTGGCGTAGATCTCTTGGGGTAGCCTTGTAAGACTGTGTTCGGGTGATGCTGATAACTTGAACCGCGGTCTTGTGGAGAAGTAGCTTCGACTGGAGACGACGCTCTTGGGAGAGGGAGTTGACGATGAAGACGAAGATGAAGATGACGAAGAGCTGGAAGGCGAATCCGCGGAATCCGGGAGGTCTGAAATCCCCCACTGAGCGTGTGCCTTCTGGATAACCTTGGTGCTCTCATCTCGAAACATCAACGACAACTGGTCCCTATAGCCGGGACAGCTCTTGCCCACTCGGATGCATTGGGTGCATTGTGGTTGAATCTTATCACACTATAAAGCAGAGGAAGGATATCAGCAACCAAGTGACTTGTCGATAGAGTGATGCAGGAGATCGGGATATATATATGTTTTGTGTTGTTGTGACCTGGAGCCCTTATGGGCTGGGGCTCGGCTATAAGCAAAGGATGATCCCCATAATGTAACGCCTCAACATGGACAATGGGTACTTTGGACTTTGTAGATATTTGCTCGTTGCACCTTGTGAGACAGTGCTGGGGCTTGAAGGTGTTGTGTGGGAGCGGGCATGTATAAGGATAGGGCGGCACATACCTTGATTCTCCTGGTTCGACAGTTCTGGCACCCCTGGGAGGCTTTGCCGCAATAGACCATGGTTCGGTACGATCCGAGAATGACAGTGTACTTGCAGGATGTATAGATTCCGTGTGCCGGCGTCGGTAACCAGTGATTGCAGAGACAATGGGCGTACTGTCGATTCCACCTGAATGACTGTCGGTCGTATCGTGATGTGTCAAAAAGTGACCAGGAGGAGACCAGCTACGAGACAATTGTCGGATAGGGAAAGCAGATCGTAAAATGGTGGGAAAAGCGCGGCATATCACTGCAAACCCATGCCATATGCCTCCACATCAAGCATGCCGTGTTCCTAGTCTCCCGCTAGAGACGGCGGCTTATGCTTGCCGTTGAGTCCTCCGGCGAAAATGGTAGCAGAGCAACGTGGGGATAGGTATCAACCGGCGCGGAGAGTACCACCTCAGCATTACTTACATAGAGGCAGCAAAAGGGCACTCCATTCCGAGATTTGCATTCCCAGCTTCTTCTCCCCAGTTCACCACACATCAAGGCATGGAGTGTAGAGTACAAACGCTGAAGCGAAACCCAGGAGACGTCCCCTGGCTTGAAGCTGATCTCATCCCCATCCCGTGAAGAGCGAACATGACCATCTTCACCTCTTCAGCTTTCACGGTTCGAGGTTGGGTATGTAGCTGGTCGTCTCCAGGTCGAGCCATGGCAGAAAACATTGTGATTCCTGGCACGGTCAGCTGGTTGGATGAACCACTGTTTCTGTGGGTTTAAATTCAAACATGCCATGATGTGAGGACCGTGCGCTTCCGCTTACCGCACTGTTGGAACACATCCACAGCGAATGTGTGGTGTGGGGGGACGATCCTTGTATGCAGTGTAAAGACCAGGCACGGATAGGTAGGTTTCCATCTTGGCCCTTCTGGCGGCGTGAGGGTTCGATGGAAGTTCATCCAAGATGTCAATACTTGATGATCAACGCGAGAGCCCACGACCCTGCTCTGTTTTTGCTATGTAGCTTGTATCGCCGTCAAAAGTGGCCGTGATGTGTTGGTTGTGGTGTTGCCATGTGACGAACGTTTTGTGATGCTGTACCTCGACATAGTACATAGCACAGTAGCTGTCAAGCCTGCATAAGTGGAAACCCCTGCTTATCTAGCTTTGCAAGAGCAGCCCTGGTCTCCAACTTGCAGCATTTCCAAGGCCGAAATAGCTTTGCTGGGCCACGAAGAACCATAGACAATAGACCACATAGCTGGTTGGCGACGACGACGGCGAGAGGTGGAGATATTCCGTGAGATGCTTCCTAAGAAGATGGGAATCGCTTATTACGCTTAGAACCCACTCACACTCGCATGGGTTCCGACAAGGGGGCTCTTGGACCAGGGGAAAGAAAAAAATCGAAAAAATATCAAATGACATACGCTATATTAGCGACGCGCACCAAAATACAATACACTACTAGAACATTACGGCTACCAGAAACACAACACAACAGTACTACCATTCTGCCATAGAAATTAATATAAATTTGACTGCGAATAGAAGATACTTAAACTATATGATTAGCGTTAAGTACAATTAAATTGCTTCAGGTTTAATATAATTACGGATATTACAAATTCTAGCGCTTATTTTTATTAAATATACGCTATACAAGTTAGCCTAATAATAGCGATAGCGTACTTATACTAAAAAAACAATTATTTAAACTAATAAATACGGATACTACGTATTTAACTAATTTCTACTACAATATAAGAAACACATTTAATTTTATCTCTAATTTACTAACTACAATACGAAGACGCGTTCTATTATACTAACACAAACTACAACAATCCCTATCAATATCAACATCGTTTTAGTTCACAATGGATCCTATATAAGAAGATTAAAGTTTTATTATTAATCGTATTAATAACGTTCCTATTAATAATAATCATTTCGCTATCGATATTGCTAATAATATTGCCGATAATAACCACGACCGGCTTCTTAAATTCGTACTACTAAATTGGGAGGATGGCTTCGATGACGATTTTTTCGACGAGCTCCTATTCGAATATAAATTAAGAGGAGGTAATACGCTTCTTAGCAAAATATAAATCGATAATAAAAATATATTTAATATAGTTATCGAAAATATTTAGGAGTTTATAGAAGCTTTGGGATTTAAATATAGTATAGACTCTTATTTTCCGAATTTACTAATTCTAATAGATTCTTATCACTATAGAGCCCGTTACCGCCGAACCCGTTACCACTAAGCCCATTACCGCTAAGCCCGTTACTATTAAGCCCGGTGCCGCTAAGCCCGGTGCCGTTGAGCCCGGTGCCGCTAAGCCCGGTGCCGCTAAGCCTAGTACCGCTAAGCCCATTACCGCTGAGCCCGTTACCATTAAGCCCGTTACCGCTAAGCCTATTACCGCTAAGCCCGGTACTACTAAGCCTATTACTACTAAGCCTATTACTACTGAGCCCTACGCGCAAGAACCAGCGCCTGCCTTCTTCTCAATACTAGTAGATTTAGCTAAAAAGCATTACTTCTTCTTCGATACTACTATTATTATAATATTCGACGAGACTTATCTATAGTCTCGCTATAGCGACTTCTTCAATAATATCTATACTTCCAATGGCATTATATATTACTATCACGACCCTTTTACTAGGCAATTGGACGGGGATTTTCATTAGTATTTATACTATCGGTTATAGCCTTTAAAGCTACGGAAGTAAAAGTACGAATCTAAGAACATACGTATGAAATCGACGTATGAGTATTATAGTTGCCTAGTTACAGTAAAGCGCATCTAGTACCCTAATAGTACTATTATCTTCAAGCTTATAGACCCCAGGCGTTATTATTCTTATATTCTTAATATTTATAATTAAATAAAAAAGCCTAAAGTGCTAATACGATTAGCTATTAACAAGACTATACGAAACTACCCTCCAGTAATAATTCTACGGTTCTTTCGTAGTAATAATAGCTATAATATTAATGTAGGGAGAGATGTACGTATTGCCGGCGGTTATTAATTTATTTAATAAAATATAATTAACGCCGGTAAAATATATCGGCAGCGGCACCCTAATCCGCAGAGAATTAATACTGCTTTTTTACCTAATTGTCAAATTAATAAAGTTTCAAAGCATTTAATTCAAAGGATTATAACCACAACGGATAAGGGATAAAACATTTCTTAATTCTATAGGGCAATTGAGGTTGACTATAAGGTTAATTAAATTATATTCCGTAGTTTCGTCTTTACCTCCTTAAACTAATTTAAAACGCTTTATTAGCGCGGCTACCTTATACTTATAGACGTTACGTACTATATTAATTAGTTTGGGTAGCTTCTATATATAATCCTTATAAGAAACGAATATAATTATTAGCTTCCTTATAACTACTTTTTAATAACGAAGTTTAATAGTAATATTATAGCTATTATATTGTCTATACTACGTGGATAGGTAATTGAGTATTGCGGAGAGGATCGCCTATAGCCACTTTATTACTTTCTTACTAATAACTCCGCTATTAAGTAAAAGGCTATTAGAATAGCCTTTCCTAATTTAAAAATCGACTACCTTCTATACTACATCTACGCAAAATAAATACTAAAGTGTAAATTAGCTAGTAACAAATATAAAACCTATCTACAATATATATTTAAAACTATTAAGTATTAGCAATCTAAAGTGATTTATAATGAGTCGATAAATGCCGCTCTTACTAGTTTACTTGTAATTAATACCGTATAAGGGTATATTAATAAGCATTAAGTATTGTATAAGAAGTAATGGGCGAATTACGTTCGTAAATATTCGCCTCTCTTATTATAAATAATATTAACCCCTAAACGCCTCTTTCAATATATATTTTTACTAACCTCTTTCAAATAATAAATAATAATAACTAACCCTTTTAAAAACTACTATTCTACTTTAAAGTACCAAAATAAACTTATTTTATAGTAGTTTTCACTATTTAGTATTATTAAATATATAATAATAATCAATAGCCGGTATTTTAATAAGGCGGCCAAAGTAAAGAACGACTTTCGTTATTCTATTTATATTATTACTAACTTTCCGGGCCTTAACCGCTTCCCTAAGCCAGTACAAAGGCTATTATTACTTAAAGTTCGTAATAATAAGCGGCTATACATTATAAGGAAATATCTAATTCGTAGCCTTCCTAATCTATCTAGGGTTATTGTTATCCAACTACTAAATAGTATACGAACATACGATTAAGAGGAAGCTGAATACAAGTATAAGTTCTACTATCGGTGGTAGCTACCTTGTAAATACCTTTAGTACTACTACTTTTTTAATAATAGTCGAACCTTATTAGTAGGCCGGTTAATACAATAGTTAAATAAGTAGCAGCTAACTAGCTTCGAAATATACGAAATAAGGGAGAGGTAAAGGATGCTAATTATTCCCAAGGAACTATAATTTGCACGAAATACTAAATAAACAGCTCGTAAAATTATAAAAGTAGAATTAAACCGCTTCTACGAATTTTAGTAATAGACTATTCAATTATATAGCGCTAATTTAGTACGTATAGAGGAGGTTAATATTTGGTACCTTAGGTTAATAAGGGAGGGTTTTAACTATAGGCGAAGTAATCCGTTTAAAGCTTTCCAAGTTTAATTAAATTGAAATTTAAACTATTTATTTATTTAGTTCTCAATATTATTCTATTGTAAACCAGAACTTTTTAATCCATAAAAGCTCTATACAATATAAATAGTATAGGAGAGTTTAACTAAAAATATACCGAACTTAAGTATAGGCGGTACAATAAAGGTTATTTCCCTTATTCCGCTATATAATTTCTAAGTATTCTCGGTAAATATTTCGCTAAACCTTAGTTATTTAAATAGTAAAGATAAACTCCCTTTTCTACAGAAGTTCGTCGACTAGGACTTGGATATCCTTCTTATTTACCTTTAGCGCGATAATAGCTTTGAGAATTTGTAAATATTTTCTAACGAGTTTTTTTTGCACGTTAGTACTATCGGTATATAGACCTACGCTAATAAATTTAGTATATTTCTAATTAAACTCTCCCTTAATTACTATTAGAATTTAGGGGGGTTAAACCCTAATAAAATTCGAACTTAGGCCTCGGTCAAGTTAATTACGCTATTGTTGGTACCCTGTTGTTCTTGAACAATAGCATTCAATATATCGAATAATTTAGAAACCTTTTAGTAATAGGCTTAGAGTTACTAATATAATATATTAATCCTATAGTAATTGTTTGTACGTTATTAAATTCGAATTATTACCTCTCTATAGAAAGTCTCGAGTAATAGTTTAGTAGATTTAGCGAAGTTTATTAGGACGCTACTGTAGGAAGATAGTATTAGAAGGTTCGCTCCTAAGTAGTACTTAATAGTATATAAATAAATTTAATAAACTTTGTATTAAAGTTTCGAGGACCCGAAACATTAGAAAACACACCTTTCCGTTGATAATTAGTATTATTAATAGCTTTTTCTCTTCGCCGGCTTTAGGGTTAAAATTTTCCTTATTACTTAAGTCGGACACTTCGGAATCCGAACCGTATTCGTTACTATCGCTATTACTATTAATAGGATCGTTATTACGCTATTTATAACTTCCCCGTAATCTATTATAATATTTTTACTTCTTAATTTTTAAATTTACCGAATTTCTTCTTAAATTTCTTAATCTCATCTTCTTTACTATTTTTAAAAGATATTAAGCCGTTTCTAGGAAGTATAAAACTATTATTAGAAGATAGTAATAGAAAAAACATAAAAAAGAAAGACCTATACCGGATTCAAACCGGCGACTTACTGCCCGGCCGGCTATAGTTCTATTACTTACTACCCGGCTAACCCTAACTCCAAACTTCCGGTCCCGCCTACCCAATTTAAAGTAAAATCTTACGTAGTATTTTTATTACCTATAGATATTAAATATTAGTATTAAAATCTTTTAAATAAGAGAAAGTAAGAATAATAATAATAAAGAAAAAAAAATACAATTTGAAAAATATTTTGATATAAAAGAGTATTAAGAAAATAATAATAAAGAAATAATAAAGAACTATAAATAGAAATAAATAATAATAAAGAAGCAATAATAAAAAGAAGTAATTATAGTAAAAAAATATAATAGTAAAAAAAATTTAAATAAAAAGTATAATTATAAAAAAATAATAATAAAGTAAAAATAAAATAACTTATATAAATATAAATATTTAACTTTTTATAGGGGTATTAGTAACCCCCCGCACCGTTAAGTAATAATTCGCAAACTATTATTTTAACAGCGCAGGGGAACTACCCTCCTACTCCCTCTAGGTTCGAAATTTTTTAATATACTAACGTAGTAACTAGGATACGCTTTTTATTAAAAAACTACTTACATTTAGAAAAAAACCCTACTAGAGAAAACCCCTAGTAGGATAAAAACCTAGTAGCGCAAAATATATAAAAATAATAGTTAGAAGTTCATTTTAAGGATATAAGTACCCCTAAAGTAATAAGGTAGAAATAGGTTAATTATATTTAGGAAAAAACCTTACTAGAAAGAACCCCTAGTAAGATAAAAACCCAATAGCGCAAAATATATAAAAATAATAATTAGAAATTTATTCTAGGGATACAAGTACCCCTAAAGTAACAAGGTAGAAATAGGTTAAATTAAGGGATTAATTTTTTTAAACCCTTTACTACCCGTCGATAAATCTAGGTTTTAAAAAGTTAATCCCTAGTTAAATTAGATTTTACAATTCTAGTCTATTCGTTAATAAGACTAGAATTGTAAGTTCTAAAATAATTATTTATTTTATCCAATAACAGTCTTTATTCCACCTAAAAAATCTAATAGCAGTTTAATATAATTATTAACTATATTCCAAATCAATAGGCCAACTACAACGGTCTCTAATAGCGGTCTAATATAGTTGTTAATTATATTCCAAATCGATAGGCTAACTACAACGGTCTCTAATAACGGTCTAATATAGTTATTAATTATACTCTAAATCGATAGGCTAACCGTTAATACTTATAGGGTATTCCTTAGTATAAAACGATTCTTTTTAGATTATTAATTAAATAGAATCTAATTAAAGCTAAGGGGGTTTGAGTGTATAAAGTATTAATACCCTAGTAGACCGTAGGGTAACTACGCGCTAAATTACTTTAAAAAATAAAATTAAGTTTCCTTTGTAAGATACTCTTTATATTCCCTATCGGACTATTTCCCGTTGCTCTAATTATTAATAAATATATTTTAAATAAATATTTTTATAATAGTTTACTACTCTTAATTAATAAAAACATCCTTGGTAAATGCTTTCGCAATAGTTAATTTCTAATAAATTAGATTTTTACCTCTATTTATTAAATACTTATACCCCCAAATGTCCCTAAATTATAATTAAAAGTAGTATTGAACAAGCCAACCCTAAAAATTCCCACGTAGGTTAGTTAATAAATCAAATTATAGCACTCTTATATAAATTAACCCACTACTATTAGATTAGGACATTTAATAAGGACGCTCTATTATTTAAAAATAATAGAGGAAATTGTGGTATTATTATTGTTCAACGGTATAAATTAGTTTTCATATTAAAATAAACATTCCTCCTACGCCTAGTATATTATAGGGTATTAATTAAAATTTTAATAATCTATATATTACTATACTTAAGATTTAAAACCGAGGATAATATTCCATTTAAGGGTGCTTAGGCCTAAAAGCCCTAATAGCCCCCTAATAAAATATAGAATTAATTTGAATTTATTAGTATATAAGCCTAATATTATTTAAATTTAATTCAAATTCTATAAAAAAGTGCTTAGGAAAACCCAAACAGCTCTTTCGTAATAGTACTTTAGCTCTATATATAGCTATATACTTAACTATAGGTATATAACCCTCTGTAAGAACCCCCCTATATACGGTTGTAGATGGCTATAAGCGTATAACCCTTTGTAAGAATCCTACTAAGCGACCCTATATACGGTTACAAACCCGGCTACAAGTATATAACCCTCTATAAGAATCCTACTAAGCGACCCTATATACAGTTGTAAACCTAACTATAAGTATATAACCCTCTATAAGAATCCTACTAAATAACCCTATACACAGTCGCAAACCTGGCTATAAGCATATAACCCTCTATAAGAACCCCCCTATATACAGTCATAAACGGCCACAGGCGTATAACTCTTTGTAAAAATCCTACTAAGCGACCTTATACACGGTCGCAAACCCAACTATAGGTATATAACCCTTTGTAAGAACCCCCCTATATACGGTCGTAGACGGCTACAGGCGCATAACCCTCTATAAGAATCCTACTAAACAACTTTATATACGGTCGCAAACCCAGCTACAGGTATATAACCCTCTATAAGAACCCTCTTATATACGGTCATAGACAGCCACAAGCGTATAACCTTCTATAAGAATCCTACTAAGCAACCCTATACACAGTCGCGCCTGCCTTAACTAGTCGCTCTTACCTTAACTAGTCGCTCTTACCTTAACCGGTCGCTCTTACCTTCTCTTATATACCCTACAACCTCGGGTTTGGGGAAGGTACAGGTAAACGAGTTAAATCGCGACTTTTCAATTCCTATAAAATTATTTAGTATAGGAAATTTTAAAAATCGATTTACAGCCACCAAACTCAACCCTACTATAAAACCTTTTTAAAATAAGTACTAGGTAAGTAAGAAACTATTTCTTTAACTATATTAACTACTTTTACTAATAAATAAAATACTAATTTCGAATATAAGGTAGGTAAGGCACTTTCTCTTAGCTAAATTAGCCAGTTTTTCTTATATATATAAGTAATATAATAATTAATTTGAATATAGGGTAGGTAAGGCACTTTCTCTCGGCTAAGTTGGCTAGCTTTTCTTATATATATAAGTAGTATAGTAGTTCATTTAAATGTAGGGTAGGGAATGCAAGGTAGGTAAGGCACTTTCTCTCGGCCAAGTTGGCCAGCTTTTTTTATATATATAAGTAGTATAGTAATTTATTTAAATACAGGGTAGGGAATGCAGGGTAGGTAAGGCACTTTCTCCCGGCCAAGTTAGCTAGCTTTCTTTATATATATAAGTAGTATAGTAGTTAATTTGAATGCAGGGTAGGTAAGGCACTTTCTCTCGGCTAAGTTGGCTAGCTTTTCTTATATATATAAGTAGTATAGTAGTTTATTTAAATATAGGGTAGGGAATGTAGGGTAGGTAAGGCACTTTCTCCCGGCCAAGTTGGCTAGCTTTCTTTATATATATAAGTAGTATAGTAGTTAATTTGAATGCAGGGTAGGTAAGGCACTTTCTCTCGGCCAAGTTGGCCAGCTTTCTTTATATATATAAGTAGTATAATAATTAATTTGAATATAGGGTAGGTAAGGCACTTTCTCTCGGCCAAGTTGGCGAGCTTTTCTATAGCTATATAAATATATAAAATATTATAAACTTCTTTAAGTACTTTTATATAAAAGTAAGTAATATAGATTGGAAGTATATAAAAATAAGGAAGAAAGTTTATTTATTAAAACTTTTTAAGCTATTGTTTATTATTATTAAAAGAATTTACATTACAAACTTATACAGCTTTTTTTTTAATATTTTATATAATTTAGTAAAAAACAAAGTATACGAAAAAGGAATATAATTGTAATATACTTATATATAACTCTAAAATAATAAAAATCTAAATACATTTTAAAAAAAAGAATAAAAAAAAAAGCCATAACGTAAATCGAACCCATAACCTCAACACCAAGTAGCCAGCATATTAACCACTACACTACAACTATTGAAAAGTTTTATCACTTATCTTATCTATATACCTCCCTTCTTTCACCATCTTCACCAACCTCTCTCCACCTCTTATCTTCTCAAAATCTTATCCTTATCATTCATCACCACTCTTATCTTATCAATATCCTTATCTACATCTTATCTTACCTACTCCACCTCTTATCTTCTCAAAATCTTATCCTTATTATTTATTACCACTCTTATCTTATCAATATCCTTATCTACATCTTATCTTACCTACCCCAATTTTTTTTCACAACACGAATACGAACTTCGCATCCAAGATACTACCAAGAAGAGGAAAGAATGAACGCGTGAACCTTAACCATTTCGAGTTATATATGCACAGCACGAGCTATAGTCCGCCATAAGGACAAGGAAAGAAAAGCTGACTAGTAAGGGTGTCTGCCCCTGCAGGTGTGAGTGGGTTCTAAGCGTAATAATCGACACCAGAAGATGTCCTATTCTATTGCGGCCATCCGGGGGTTGTGTAGGTACAGCGTCTGGTGGCTGGGCAGGGGATTAAGGGGCAAGTCCCCCACTACCCCTGATGCTACAGCCCTTTTCCATGATATCCCGGAATCCAGATGTCTAGCGCGCGCCTCAACCCTTTAGGACACAATCTGCCTGCTAATAACGCAGAGTGTTAAGAAATGGGTTGATGGTGGGAACTGACATGACTGTTAGCAATTTGATATCGACAAACTGGTAGGAGTCCCAAGCAGGCACGGGGAGTACGCAGTGGCATAACAACAGTGTTCCTTGTCAAATGGAAGCGGATTTCAATTTCATTTATGGGAGGAACTTGATGCTTGTCAAGGGTTCAATGGCGGAAAAGTAGATATATAGCGCAATGAGATCTGCCCGGGAAGTACACTGGTACACTCCCTGTATGCCATATATGAAACCAAACACCTTTTGGCTACACTTGATCGACGTGTCTCGCCCGCTAGGAAAAGCCCAAGTTGATATACAGTGCCTCTCTCCCGTCTTTCCGGAAGCCGTCTGAATTTTTTTTTTTTTTTTATCCGTCTCGAACACGGATTCAAGCTCAAGTCGCTTCGAACTTGGCATCCAGTTTGTGTCATGGGATCAACAAAGCCGTATATATCTCTGACGGATACAAGTAGGCCTTGTTGCGTCAAGCCTGAGTCGTCTGGTGGGATCGAGGATAATTCGTGGTTCAGGCCAAAGCATCTCAAGAGAAACCTGACATTCTCAGCAAAGATAAGACGTAAATGCCACCGAATAGGTAGGTGTAGTTTCCATGATGGTGATGGAAGAAGTTGGAAGCGGCTGCTGTTGTGAGTGTGAGCTTATCATCCGGACAAAAGCCTAGATGTAGCCTTCCACCACTTGAGACATTGGGCTCGGCCCGTTCATCTTGCTCGATGATGGCCAAATGTCCGTCGCTCCATGTGCAAGATGGAAGGAGCTGAGGTCGGGAGCAAAGGCGATGAGAAGTGGAAGGTTCTCAAGTAGAGAGAGAGAGGTACGTACCCGTTGCCTGCCAATAGCAACAGTCCGTCCCCTTCATCCTCACGCCCACGGTTACTTCCGAATTGGGTGAGCTTGGATTGGATGTGGGGCTCTCTACCATTTCAGAGGACGGGAAGGTTCCCCAAATGCGGGCGGCGGCAACACCGCAACCCAAACCATAAAGTTTTCTGTTCGTTGCTGCCACCACTGCAGCTTGAGATCACATTTGCCCTTAACAGACCAGGACCACTGCACTGCATAACCACAAACTGGTGCCATCGTATTATTCACGACTGACCTCTTCACAATTCCCTCTTTCCCAACCCACGAATACCTCTACCCAGTCCCCAGTGCCAACGCGTTTCTCTCCATTCCGCCAGACTTACACCTAGTACGTAGTGTACAAGAACAACAGCCATCGCTGAGGAGGACAAGGTGCTTTTTCCTTCGCCAGGCAGTTTTCTACTTACCCCCCGCCACCAATAATTTTTCTGACTTCTTGTGTGGCCGCCCCCGCACAATATCCTTTTTTTCTTCACACCTCATCCTCAACCGCCGCAGCAAGTAATCCGCTTCCCCAAGTTCGCACAAGCACGAGGTAAGAAGCTAGCCCCTCTGTCAAGCTGTCTACCTAGTCAAGGTCCCGGGATGTTGTCACAGAGCAGACTGACGTTTGCCCCAGGTTGAGCTCAGATCTCCACTCTTGGTTGCCCCACTCTGCTGGTCGTCCACGTTAAATCGGCAGCTTTTTCCCTCGACACGCGCCTACTTCTGGCATTCATCCTGCCATCTACGCCATTCCACGACACCGCACTCACATCCACATCCATCAACTCTCTTCTTGGCGTTACGAAAACCACCGCAATCATGGCAACAAACGGTAATGTTAATCACAGCGACCAGTACGCAGCGCCCAGCTCGACAACCGAGGCCCCCGCCACTGCTTCCACCACTTCCCAGACCCAGAACCAGACCCTGCCCAAGGATGAGGTCGGCTGGTACTTCGTCGAGCAATACTACACCACTCTGAGCAAGAACCCCGAGAAGCTTCATGTGCGTCCAATTGATCCCACCTTGAGCTCATACTGAGCTATGGCTTACTGTTTTGCAGCTCTTCTACGGCAAGAAGTCCCAGTTCGTCTACGGTCAGGAGGCCGAGGTCTCCTCCGTTTCCTATGGCAGACAGGTGAGTCGTCTTCGCTCCTACCCCTTCCCCTACTGGCCCCACATGTCATCACATGCTGACTCCCAAGTACAGGGCATCCAGGAGCGCATCAAGGGACTCGATTTCCAGGACTGCAAGGTCCGCATCTCGAATGTCGATTCGCAAGGCTCCGGCGACAACATCGTTATCCAGGTCATCGGCGAAACCTCCAACAAGGGCGCCGAGCCCAAGAAGTTCGTCCAGACCTTCGTCCTTGCCCAGCAGCCCTCTGGCTACTTCGTTCTGAACGACATGCTCCGCTACATCAAGGAGGAGGGTGAAGAGGAGGTCGAGGAGCCCGCCCAGGAGGCTGCTGCTGCTCCTGAGGAGGAGACTCCCGCTCAGCCTGAGGCTCCTGTCGAGGCCGCCCCTGAACCTGTCGAGGAGGCCAAGCAGCCCGAGCCGGAGGCTGCCGAGCTTGATGCCAGCGCTGTTGACCAGAAGCTTGAGGAGGCTGCTGAGGAGGAGACGCCCGCTGCTCCCGTCGAGGCCGTCCCTGAGCCTGTCGAGGAGGCCAAGCAGCCTGAGCCAGAGGCTGCCCCCGAGCAGACTGCCGAGCCGGAGAAGATTGTTGAGGAGATCACCGAGGAGGAAGTTAAGAAGCCTGAGGAGCCCAAGGCCCCTACACCCACTCCTGCCCCTGCTGCTGCTCCTCGCGCGGCTGCTCCCCCTGCTGCCGAGCCCGAGAAGCCCAAGGAGCCTCCCAAGCCCAAGACTTGGGCCAACCTGGTCGCTGTTGCCGCCGGCCCCAAGCCTGTCGTTCCTCTGACCAAGGCCGCTACTCCTGCGGTTCCTGCCCAGACCCGCGCCGCTGCCCCTGCGGCCGCTCAGCAGCCCGCCGCTGCTCCTCAGGCTGCCGAGACCGCTGCCGCCCCCAAGGAGCAGGCCAACGAGTGGCAAACCGCCGAGACCAAGCGCCAAAGTCGTCCCCAGTCCACCATCGCCGGCGCCGAGAAGGAGACCGCTATGGCCTATATCAAGTATGTCACGGAAAAGGTCAAGGAAGAGGACCTCAAGGGTCTCTTGAGCAGCTTCGGCGAGCTCGTCTACTTTGACATCAATCGCACCAAGGTATGTTACATCGCTTCTGCTATTCGCTGATATGAATGGGAATTAACAACCTCTTAGAACTGCGCTTTCGTTGAATTCAAGACCCAAGCCGGTTACAATGCCGCCGTTGCCGCCAACCCCCACACCGTCAACGGCGAGAACATTGTTGTTGAGCAGCGTCGCCCCAAGTCTACCGCCTTCGGTGGTAGCAACTACGGTTCCGCTAACCGTGGCGGCGCTGCTGGACGTGGCCGTGGTGGCTTCGAGGGTGGTCGCTCTGGCAGCCAGAGCGGCGGCCGCGGTGGATTCGGTGGCCAGTCTCGTGGCCGCGGCGGAGCCAACCGTGGCCGTGCCCCTACTGCTCAAACCCCTACCGCCTAGGTGGCGTGAAGGGTTGACCAGAAGGTCACAGTCGATATTGCCTAAGAACTCGTCGCATTGCCCAGTGTGATGATTGATAAAATTTATCAAACGATATATATGGTTGTTCCTCTCGCTTGCGGATGGGCTGGAGTTGTTTGGAAGGTTAGGAAAAGACCTGAAGACAAAAGGAGGCACAAAATTCGTCTTCGGTGGGAATGATTGCCGCGACCATAAACGGGAAATGACTTTCATTTTTTTGGGAGGAGATAGGCCAGGAAGAGAGGGCTACGACGCATTCATATTCAGGCTTGTTTCTTATCTTTTTTGTGTGGGCGGACAGGGTCCCAATACGGTTGTGTGGTGTTTGGTTGCGTTTTTATGCTTGGAGTTTCGGAGCGATCATGCATATACAAAATCTTCACCACTTGCATTTCTTCCCATTTCAGCTTTCCCGGAACGTCTTCGTCTTGTGTTGCTGTATTCTGGCCTCATGCTTGGGAAGATGTCAAGTAGTAGGCGCGTATCATTCAGTATCAATCCCCAAGAGGAGAAATGGCGTGAGGTTATTTAACAGGTCACAGCTGCAGTTGAAAGCTTCCACTACAAGTCATGACCCCAACAAAAGAGGTGGGAGATTCAACAAGCCAGCAGGTAGATAGTATCTGCCAGCCATCGTGAGCTTGTGGTTTTCCAAATCACGCCTTTCGTTTGGTAAAGCCGGACGAGTCTATCCACAATTCCCCTTTCAATATTCAGCTTCAAGTCTAGTCTGATATCTGACCCTTATAACATGGATAGGGCTTTGGCGCGTTTTTTTTTTTTTTTTTTTTTTTTTTTACCTGATTAGCCTGCTTACACTACTACTTAACTACGCCTGTTGGTGAGATTTCTTGGCCGGCGTCTATGTTGAGCACATGCAGCTCATGATCGTGGGCGTAAGAAATGGCCTGAAATTGTGAGGTCTCAAACTTTGTTATCATAAGCATCAGGCCGAGACTAAACAGCATGTAGATTAGTGTCACAATATGACCGCTGTCAGCATACTCCGTAGTTTATACTCTCCTCCCAAGTCTATACCTCACGAAATATGCCGTTCGAAACCCTTAAACTCTTTCCAGCATCCAGACTCCGATCCCCTCCGCTGCCAACTCTTCGCCATGACTCTCCCAGAGCCCCATGCTATATTGCAATGTGGTACGTGTATGTATGGGGCGAAGTTATCAAGACACATAGACTCTCCGTTGTCCTCAACCACCACAACCTCCCACCGCAAAATGAACTACAAGGAGTGAGACCTGAGAACAGAGATAGGAGTAGACACAGAGACAGACACAGCGCCCAACTAATAATACAAATCCCAATAACCTCCCTCGACAGCTCTCTCTCTCCGCCACTTCCTTTCCCTGCCCGCGCCACCTAGACCCGAACGCCATCTCCATCAAAATTTGAATTGACTAGACCTGCACCAGCTAATCCAACAAGAACGAGTAAGTCTACCAGATTTAGCTCTCAGACTAAATTTCAAGTCAGACAATGAAAGTCCTCGTCTGGCTGAAGCCAACGGATCTACGAAACGAATGCTTCGTAGACAGCACACGAAAGCCCTTTATTAAATAACTATCAAAAGACTGGGATGTTCGTCATGAAGGAGGGATATCAAATGACGACATGGAAAATGGTCCAAGAGGTCTCAAATCAAACGAGTGTACGGTAGTTTAAGGGTTGTACGGGTCAAAATCAAAAGCGTCGTTTCGTCATTACTGGCTGGCTACAACCAAGCACCAGCACCAAGGTCACGATATCATATTGCTTTGTGGAGATAGAAATCGCCTAATGTGTTGAGGCCCGTTAGAGGGAAGGGCATGCATTGTACATACATTTGTCTTTTTGAGTGAGGCTTATTGTGATGGGGGATCGTGGGTGGAGAGATCATGTTGATGGAGGCAAAGAGGGGAGTTTTTTTTTTTTTTTTTTTTCTTCTTCTTCTTCTTTCTTTCCTCTCCACTACCCATCAAAATGTACTTAACTAGGTCTTTTTTTGTGACACGGTTGATGTGCTTTCTACTTCTCAACCACCACTTCAAGGACCAGCCGAACTTCGGACCTTCTGGGCGCATGATACACTTGTTCCTTCTTGGGTTTTCAAGACTGTTAACAGCGTATAGTTGAGGATATGTACGTATGTATGTAAACTGATTTGAGGCCTACGTGCACAATTATATGATGTACACGTCGGTTGAGTCGCTATCTGAAAGGAATGTAAGCCTAACAGAAAACCGATTACCCATTCAGGAAGGTGAAGAAGAAGTGGTCCGGTCCGGTAACTTGGTACGTACGGGTGGACTCCGTTTTCTCCATCTTCCGAAAGTTGGGATTTCGGTCGGTTGGCGCGGTTCCAAGCAGGGTCTCCGGTGACGGAGGTTACCTTTAATATTCATGCCCAATATGTATCCATCGGATCATCAGGTTGGAGTGTCCTCCTGAATCTGGTAGAGTCGATGTAAGAAATATACATACGCAAGTGGTCACAGGATGGTGCTTTACGACGGGAAAGAAGAGATAAGGCAAAGTCTGACAGGTCTGATACACCAGACACTTCAGAAGTTGCGAAATACGCGCGGCTATTAGGGTCAGTAGGTCGTACGAGATTTTAACCCAGGACCAACAGTCAAGAGGTGGGGTCCTGCGCTTCAAGTTCCATAGGATCAAGATGTGGTGCTCGTGTTACTCGAAGACGTACGCAGTAAGATAGGAGGAGTGCTGGTAGGGTACCCTTCTTTTTGCGTAGTGGTTGGTCCTGACCTTTTTGACCAGAAGCGGATCCTGTACCCCAAAGGAAGGTGACTTCCAAGATATCTTCATAGGTGTGTGCACTGTCTGCTTGTTCTTAGCACTTGCTGGTTACCAGTAAGATGCTCAAGATGCTTTGGTCAACCTACGGGAGTATAATGTCACTCCTTATGATTTCCTCAAAGAAGAACAGCATTACAGTTGAATCTCGGCCTTTGTACGGAGCATAGAGCTCTCCGCGTCTCCAAGGCGGAGAATGACGCCATCTGTGGTTGAATCACAAGCCTTCTGTGGTTTATAAGTCGTCGGCTCGGTCTTTTTAGAGGGACGAATCCGATAACGAGGCTTTACTGGTGTATGCTGCCTTGGCTTCTGCCAGCCTGACTAACAGTCATGATAACGATTCTTTGCCACCAATGACTGAGAATCGAGCTGCTCATAGCGGTAACCTGCTGAATCAGTCAGCCACTGACGGCTTGAGTGGTGGTATGTAGGGTACTGCTCAAGGGAGGGTAAACTTCAATCCAGCGAAAAGGAAGTTATCTCCAGGTACTGCTGTTCTGAGAAGGTCAATGGAATACGCACCAGCCTCTTCAAGTTTCAAAATATAATAGAGCCAGCATGAGAGGCGGAGGACACGGCTCGGGCTCCGCTTGATGTTTGACGTTGCTGGATCTTTTGACCGTACCAAGTAATCGGAGAGTCTGACCATTGACCGAATTTAGAAGGTCGAAGTCCGGGTATAGGTAACGCACGATTATCCGGGCCTGAAACATGCAGGCAACACAACAGAGTGAGACAACGCGTCCGTCATGATAATTCTCTCTCGACAGGAAACAGAAAGTGATGGTCTACGGAGACTTGAGATTGCAAGACAGCTGTCATAAACAGCCCTTTTCTGACTCCGAGGTATTGTTCGCTCGTATTCTAATTTGACACTCGGAGGTCCCAGGGTCCCTGGAACCCTAAGTGTTTGATCACGGGAAAGGACGTATTGGTACACATCACAAGGGCGTTCCCCGTCGACTTTCAAGCTGTGGCCTCACGGCGCTGGCGTAGCCTGGTAGCCCTGTTGTGGCACCCGGTCTCGGGAGCTAAGAGGGGACCGGGGCAGCCACGTGTGATGCCAACGGGCAACTCGAACGGGGTTCCACGTCTGTCAAATAGAGGTACTGATGGCGAACTCCGACACCATCATGGCACTGAATCCGAGGTTATCTCGTTTTGGCTGTGCCCCTGTTCCTGCATTGAAATGGAGAAGGATGGATTTGTGGGTGTCAATTTTGACTGTGTTTGCTGTATGTATATAACAGTCAACTGAAGAGGTATGTGGCCATTCAACCCGTGTGGACACAAACTTGAGGGGATTCGTGAGTCTTGGCCCACTGCGGTAGTCTCCCATCGATCTTGACGTAGAGTTCTGCTGATCTGGACGATCTCCTTATGATCTCCGGTCGGCCAACGGAGATGCCTGGGTTGTTCTTGCTCTGATCGATGCCCGTCTAGCCCATGTTAGAAGGAGCAACTGCCGTGACCAATCTGGCTGTGGTAAGGAGTAACATTGAGGTTGGGTATACATGAACAGAGCGGCACCCGGATCGGCACGCTGTTTGACCTAGTCAGGCAGGAGCAAGTGTTATGTATGAGTCGTGATAAACACAACATAAGCAAGTCTGCAGTTGGTGACCCAATAAGTCGAGTGACTCCCGTCTGTCAGCACGCCCGGTGAAGCCCCCAGAGTTGCCGACACCGGAGTGTCAATCCATTCTTGCCTCTTTTTGAGTCGTTAACGCGGAACAGTAGCTGCCGGTAGTTGACGCCAACCTGTCAACAGGGGCGCTTGCGTGCTTTTGCTGCTATCGCGGGGAAGGGAGGATGGCAAGGCACTCCCTGGATGTGAAGTACATAGTTGTCGGATTAAAGCCCGATCAGCAGTAGGTTGCGAGGACCTAATGGTATGCCCGGTTCTCCGCCCAGACAAATCATTCCATTCCTCTTTCCGATGTTGAAGGCCGGAGATTGAATCGGAGCACATTGATGGCCGCCACTGTCATCGTGCCTTCCGTACCATCAACTAGAATCGGAATCCGGAAGGCATCTTGGCATTCAATAAGCCAAGAAGCAGAAGAAGCGACCTTCCCATTCTCGTCGGATTTTATTTTGGAAATTGCGAGCGAGATGCGGGTGATCTTTTTTAGGGGCATGGCAGGCAGGGGCGAATCTGGAGACCACTGCATCCAAGGGCCAAAATCGATTTGATAGAGAGCCCGACATCAAGGTCCTCAGGGTCCACAGTACCCATGCCAGACCACCATGTCAGTCTGCCAGCGATAAACGCATCCCGTCGTTGAAACCCCCGACAGCAACATTGGGATTGGGGGTTCGGAGTGACAATTGGACTGGAGACCTTTATGTCCGGCGCAGCGCTGAGAGACGGCATTCCATCTGAAGCTGACAGGACGCAGCAGCTTTTGGCTCGAATGTGCCAACAGCATTCGGGTCAGCACAGAACTCGGAGAGAAACCCGTGAGCTTGTTGACCGAGAAATGGATTGTCGCAAACACTCCCACCTTCCAAAACGAGAACGAGACATTGGCATTTCAACCAAACGAGAAGGTCTGGCCAGGGGTCCCACCCCTACCACAGTAAAATAGGCAGCCCTCACTGGCTTGACTGGCTCTGAATTTGCAGCATTTCAGCCTTATTCGGTCGAGCCGGCCGTCCACAACACAAAAAGACTCGACTGGACTGAAACCGAGGCAGGGGAGGTGTGAAACAGTGGAAAGTTGACTGCAGGAGATATCTCTCACTTGATCCAGCACTCCGACTCGGACGCCTTCCAGAGACGACGTGAATCTTGAAAAGAGAATCGGGACGGTCAACCACAGAGGGCCTCAATTTGTCAAAAACGACCCACGTCCCCAATGCCCAGCCTGAAACAAAACTCCTCGGCTGCCTTCTCGATTGGGATGTTCCAGTCGTTTTCTGGCGCAGGTCACGGCCGGGGTCGCACAGAACTAAATTGCGTCCAACTTCCAGGATGCCGCCACGAGATGGAGATGCGGATTGCAGCAAAAATAAAAAAAAATAAAAACACAGCTCGGCCGGCAACACCTGCGATGACACGGATGTTATATTCTCAGGCTTCGATGACTAGGCTGAATGTGTTCCCAAAGCGAACAACAAGCCGGATCACTCCCTCTCCCATGGTGAACGGAACTGAATGCAGTGAACTCCCGGTCGGTCGGCGGTAGAAATACTGCCCGTGGAAATGGCTCGAGCGTCTGTGGTGATGTCTCTGGCGTTCTCTCCAAAAGCACCTCCCTGGAACAGTCTAGCGTGCCATGCGCAAAGTGGCCCATCCGCTTGAAGCCAACGCTATCATTGGCTGGATGACGCGGTGTGTCCAATGATAGACGGCCAGCTGGGGCCGCTACGGCTGTGGAAGGCAAGAGGTGCAGTGGGGCCGAGACGCAGACCAGGCGAGCTAAAACGATCGTTCAATATATTTGGTTAAAACTTTCAAAGTGAACTAGACGAGCTTGGAAACTGAAGACGATGAAGTGTTTCGCCGCGTCATGCGTCTCGGAAACAAGCTGAAAGTCCCTGTTGGTTGTCCGATCTCGCTTTTACGTTTTGTTTCCTCTTCGTCTTGCATATAGAGACGTCGGTCAACGATCGATGGACACCTGCAACTGCAAGCCAGTTGTTGTTGCCGCTTATGCTTCACAGACAGATCCGGGCCATTCAACATGACGCGTTTGAAAACTCAGCTGCTGGACGTCCTCTCTGCTTTGTCAAAGTCTCAAGGTTCAAAAGTCTCAAGCATGGTTCATGGGACTTGGTGTGCATAAGATCAGATCATCATCATGATGGCGATTCGTACGGCCGTTGCAAGCCGTTCGTTGATGGATCCTCTGCCACTGGTGCTTTGCCTGGACGGGAAAAAGAAGAAAAACGGCGAACCTCTTTTGGACTTGGTCATACTAATACTAAATGCTGAGCTGAGATGGTTTGGCAATGCGCGTCCAGCGAGTCCTAGGTGCTTCTTGGGGCTCCTTTGGAAACGAGGCGATTCCCTAGTACCTACCTAACCTAACCATTATGCGTGCTCTTTCAGCCCCTTCGTTAGGTGAACGCCCGGGAAACGTGGAAAGCCCGGTCGAGGGTAGTGGAGGGGGGTCCTCGCAAGGGGAAAACCGAAGTAGGGGGTGAGAGAGAGATTCGATATTGGGAACCGCTTTCCGCCAGAGCCCCCTGTCTTTTGCATCTCCCGCACTCAACCCGGGCCGGACGGTTAGCTGAGGTAGAAAGTGGAAAGGTTCATTGTACCTCCCGTCCTGTGTCCCAGTTAGGCACACTCAACTAAAGTACACTACGTCTACAGCCCGAGCCACAGTCACCACACTATTCTAGTCTAGTTCGTGGCAGGTTTACCTAGGTTTGTTTCTCTGGATGGAAGCTCCTCCTTGCACTGCACTTTCCACCTCACTGCTACTTTCCTCCACCACCTTTTTCATGCTCACTTTGCTCTCAGCTCCGGATTTCGCACAACCCGACACAATTCAAACTGCTCTTGCCCGTCTTTTTGCCCATCCATCCGTCTTTCTTTCGCCCTTTCCACCCTTCTCTTCCGGCCCCGGGCAAGCCCTGACTGACTCTAGAAAACTTACCTTACCACTGCCCTCTTCTTCCGTTTCTTCAATACACTACATACCAATTTCACCCCTGCCACATTGTTAGTATCTGGCTTGGCTTCGGACGGATCTGACCGTTTCCTTCCTTATTCCTTCGATACTTGTTCCGCGTTTTTGACGACAACCTGGATTACCTCATATTCCCTCCTTTTAGACTGAATCTCTTAGGTGCCTCTCCGCGACCTCCGTCTTCTTCTATCGCGCGTCTCAAGCTGGCTTTTATACCAGCACACACACCCAGAGCACCGTCTCATGCGCCTCCACCCTCCGTCGGACACGGTCTCTCTATGCTAAGCTTTTCCCACCCCGACGATCACTCCACAGAGTCACACCTCCCCACACTGCCACCCAAGCTCAGCGCCTTCACACCCAAGAAGCAACTTGAACAAAGGCGACTGTCGGTTCTGCCCGTGTCTATCTGTCGCTCTCATCCACCTCTGGGGCCGCTGCATCAACTACCTGTTGGGTTCCAATTTCTGGGAGAAAGAATTCTTGCCAAGTGAAGGATTACGACTTTTGTTGTCTCACCTCTGTTTCGCTTGGATCCAGTTCTCTTTGATCGCAAGTTATCACTACCTGGCACGGGGCTGGGCAACATGCCAGAAAGCACGGATTAGGAAGGAGGAAGCCAACAGCAAACGACCGACGGACGGATTCCTTGGATCGCTTCCAGGCGGTGACAACGGCCCCTTGACGATACTGGTCTAGCAAACCCCGCCGACAGACGGATAGGCGGATTGGGAATTCATAGGTAGCCAGGCCTGTCAAAGCTGAAGCACACGTTGTGCACTCGCCCACACGGAGAGCGGGAAGGTGGCGACTCATGGATTCCAGCGATGCCTTCTCGCAGCACACCGTCGGCGATGAGGCGTCGCAGCGCCCGCGCCGCATGTCGATGGAGGAGGATTTGTTCTATCGGGACCTCATGACCTCACGACCCGCGAACCCACCTAGTTATGAGACGGCCATGAAGTCCGCCATGGCCGCGCAAAGGCGCGCACTGGCCGCGGCGCAGCAGGGTTCGAAGCCGGTCGCTCCTCCAGAAGATGTGCTGCCCAAGTACTCATGTGATGTGATTGCGGAAGGCGTGTTTATGAGGAAGATGGAAATCGAGCATACGATCAAACGCGCCGAGGTTCGCAATTGGCAGATGGTTTACGTCGAGCTGAGGGGGACTGCACTCAACATCTACTCGGTTAAGAAGGAACGAACATGGTTTTCATCGAGACCGGACGGCCCCGATATCTCGCCAGATAGTCCTCCATGGGTCAAGAAGGGTTCTTTGGAAAAGAGTTACAGTCTACAGCATGCGGATGCCGGAATTGCCGCAGATTACAGAAAGTGCGTTTACATACCTTGACATGGTTGAAGTCTTGATGGCTGACACAACAGCAGGCGGCGCTATGTCATCCGTTTACGAGCAGAGACAGACCAATTTCTACTATCATGTGTCGAGCTCAAGACATTTGTCAAGTGGCTTGATTGCATCTTTGCCGCTATCAACATCGCGGCACCTATCGATGAGCGAGACTTCCCTCGGGATCAAAGTATACCGCGACTTCAAAGGATACGATGGCTTCGGGGGGAAAGGCCGACTCCGGAAGACAACATCAGCGGCTTTCAAAGGTTGAACGAGAGGAGGCAAAGTACTGCGTCAAGTAGGAGTGGTGAGGAGGATGAGGAAAACGACAGAAATGAGATAAACAGTACAGCACGGCCACCAACGATACACGAAGAAGAGAACGAGCGCGGAAACCAGGGGCAGAACGACTTTGCAGCATTTGGGCGAGGAGGCATCGGTCAACATCCGGTAGTAGGCCGGCTATCGACAACATCGTATCCGAACGAGAATGTCGACCCAGACACGGGAAAATGGCGGCCGAGACAAATATGGACCGAGACGCACGATCATCTTTACGCTAAGCTCTGTTATTCGGTCTTGCTGTTCAAGAGTCCACGGAAAAGCAACTACATCATCTCCAACGGCAAGCGATGGTACGTGGACTGGGCCACAGGGCGGATGGTACGCGTGCTACCTCCAGCATATGGAGAGGTCGACTTATTCGGCCCATGGCAGATCATTCGGGCGGAAAACAGACTGCTCTGAAAGGTCATCGAAACGAAAAATTGGGGGATGCGGGCCCGGGTGCCGTATCGGGCGAGGTTGTTGTTGTGATATTGTCTTACTTTTATCATATACCCATTTCCTTTGTGATTTTTCATTTATCGTCATCATCATACTTGGGTCAGTGGACTGACTGAGCGGCTGGAGTGGCATATACCTGCATTGATCTTCATCGATCCGTTTGCATTTACTGGAAGCATAAGAAAGAGACTGCGAATTCGGAGCTCGCAAGTTTTCGACCACATTTTCCTTGCTATACCAATACCACATTTTTGTTTCTTGGAAAGGAAAGGGGGATTGGCTACTGGAGTTTGGCATCATGTTTTGTTGGATGATGGGGCTGACGGATGGCAGCAGCTATGGGCAAAGGGATTCGATGCTCGTCCCTGACAAAACTGTTCAGTTGAGACCCAGTTGGCTTGCCGAAGGGTTGTAAGAACAAGTTGCATACGTTATAGTCAGTATATAGACCTTGGGCATACTTTCATTACGCACCTAAGTCTTCATTATATCTTCAAGCCCAAATTCTAGGCAGTTCCTGGATGGCAACATCTTTTAAAGACTAGCCAATGTGTTTTCGAATTATTTTCATTCCTGACATGTTTGAGAAACAGTCTGCGTGGAATACAGCAAGCGGTATTAGACTATTCGTATTCGGTTTATTGCTACGACCGCTCGCATCAGGTTGCCAGTTGGCTAATTGCCCGCCAAGGCTACGGCCAGGGGTTTCCATCATTTTCGTTATGGACGAGCCATGACACAGGATGAAACATCGTATCTGATGAAACATCGTATCTGGTCCTGTCTGCTAGTTTGCATTGCGTTGGTTTGCCAGCGTTACTAGGAGACATCAGATTCAAAGCTCTTGTAATGGGTACCCCAGGATAGCGGCTAACCCAGGTGGGTGGACAACACTTGGCTTGGCTTAGTTGACTATGCATATACACTACTATTGATGTATACACGTATGTAGCTTGATATAACTATTGTTATACCGCGTTCTCAAGTACATCGATTTAGAGGTCAATATCACCAACTAGTCTTCTTGACGAGTGTGATATCATATGTGCCCGATAATGACGAGGAAACATGTTTCCAGCCGAGAATCGCTTCATCTCCCAGAACCTGGCGCCACCGTCTCAGACAGTCTAGACCAAGCGTGACATGGCTAGTAGGTACAGGTAGTTTGTTTCCTGGGTACCGACTTCATGACGGCCGAAATCTGGATAACTCTAACCCCTAATCCAGGTTGTCCCCGTGTTGAGAAAGAGAGCGGTGAATGATGAGATGAACTAACCCCCTGACGCCATGTTGATATACATATTATGCAAGCACATCAAAAGCACTGTGACTAACCCCAAGTTAACTCTAGTCGAAGTCATTTTCCTCCACTGCTTCCGTGCTTCTCGTCCCAGATTCTCTTCTCTCCCACGGTTCTTGATCTTGTTCTTTCAGCTGCTTCATCCCGTCCCTCAGTTTCATACCCTCTTTCTCCCTCCTCTTTTCCCTCTGTCAATCCACGCCCGAAACCCATATGTCACAGTAACTCTTCGCCCATTCCACCAACCCCCTTCCTTACCTTACCTTACCTACCATCAACACCAATAGAACTAATCTCTCCATCAACCCCCCTCGTCTCCTCCACCAACCCCTTTTCCACGACACCCTCCAATAACTCGTTCGCCCCCTCGATATCCTTCAGCGCCTTTTCTACCACGGCCAACAACTCTTCGATTTCTGCGCGTTGCGCTTGGATTTCCTGGAATAGCTGATGGTTTTCGGCTTGGGTTTGTTGTAAGGTGGTGGTTAAAGAGGAGTGGGTGGTTGTTAGGTGGGGAGCTAAATGGGCGGAGAGGATGATGGATGGTGGGAGGGTGTGTGGTCTTTTTACAGTTAGTTACGGACGGAAGGATAGATGGGGGATAATGGTTTTTTTCTCTCTTATGGAAGAAGATGAAGAAGAAAAAGAAAAAAAGAAAAAAGAAAAAAAAAACTTACGGTACGGGCGGAGTGGCATCATCACCGCCAGCTTCTCGTTTCCGCTTATTCGCTTCGCCGACCAGCGTCTCGAGCTCGTTGAGTTTGGCTACCACCTGTCTTGTTTGCAAGATGGAGTTGAATTCTTTCTGTTGTTTTGGGGGGGTTGGTCAGCTGCAACTCTGTTCAATTTTTTTTTTCTTTTTTTTCACCCTCAAACTCTCGGCCCATTTTCACAACTTAACTTGCCCAGCTGCTTCACCACCTCCTACAACACCCTAATTCGCCTCCGCTCGCTCTCGCCTCTTCCCTCCGTCTTTTTCACTTATTATACCCAAGTCCCAAGTCCCAACTTCCTCCCGTTCCCCCCATCGCCATCCTTTTTTTTTTTTTTTTTTTCTTCTTTTTCTTTTTCTTCTTCCTTTTCTCTTGTTTTTCGTTTTCTTTACTTTTCAGTTTTTCCCCGTCTCTTCGCCCACCCACCCAACCATCCAACCACACCCCAACCCACACCAAAAACACACACACACACAAATAAAGCAAAGAGAAAAAAAAAGGACAAAAACTCACATCACACTGAACCCCCAACCTCTCCACCATCTGCCGTTGCACAAACTCCAACGTCCCCGGCGCCCGCGCCGCAATGGTCGGGTAACACGCCGCAAAGTTGTCGCGCGAGATCTTGTCGAGGGTGTGTCGAAGGGTGGTACTGAAGAGCTGTTGAAGGCGGGTGGCGCGGGGGCCTGGGGTTATTTCTTCTTCTTGTTGTTGTTCTTCGGCGGGTTGAGTTTGTTGTTGGGAGGGTTCGAAGGAAGAGGAGGGTTCGGCTGGTTGTTGTTGACTATTTTGAGTTTGAGTTTGGGTTTGGTTTGCTGGTGGTGGTGGTGGTGGTGGTTGTTGTTGTTGTTGTTGGTTTCGTGACTGGGATAATAGACCTGAAGATGATGTTTGTTGGTTGTGACCGTTCGTTTCTTGTGGCTGTGATTGCGATTGCGATTGCGGTTGTTGCGATCCTTGCCTTTGTGCTGATGACGACGACGGCATGGCTTCTGGTTGTTGTTGTGTTTGATCTGTTGACATGTTGTTTCTCGCTGCTTTTGCGCTACCTAGATTGGCAGTTGGTGTTGGATTCGTTAAGTTGTTGTTAACAGGCGAGGCTTGTCGCAATTGGTTATATGTAGCGTAGTTGTCTTGGTGTGAAGATGGAAAGCGCGTCGCGTGTGAGATAAGATCAAATACGGGCAACTTGGCGATCCTCACCTGTAGGGAACCTGTACCCTACGAACCCGATCAGATGGCGGGGAATCTATGCGGGGCAGCACACAGCAAATGCAGGCCCCTGTGTGCCCCCAAAATCACACACCCTGGGGGTTCCTGATAAGGTATGTGATCACAATTCCGCAGTATCGGCCTGTCTGTCTGTCAATGATTAGGCCCAAGAACACAACAGGAACTCCATTTAGACGGGATCTATTCTTGTTCTCTTACAAGTCAAGCAAAAATCACCAAAATCGCTTGGCATCACTGATACCGATCTGCGGCCTCGACGTTTCCTTGAGCCCTTCCAGTTGAGTCAAAGTTGAAGTCACTTCCTGCAAGGTACAGTGACGCATCCTGAGAGGCATTGTTACATCACGAATTTGTAACAATGTAGGAGCGGTAGCGGATAACCCATCCATCCATCATTTACCTTGACAGCAGATATATACACGGCATATCGAGTCCATAGTCCATAAACTCGTCAACATTCCTTTTGAGAATTGGTCCAACTGATGGCACCAAAACACCCATCATCCAGGTCATATATCCACAGCATCATCCATCATCCTGCATCCATCATCTCGTGATCACCAGCCATAAAGGAAACCCAAACGCCATGCCGGCATGGATGAAAACACAATCCAGCGGAGAAAAAGAAAAGGAAAGAAACCGACGCAAAAGGGGGAATAGAGAAGAAGCCCAACACGTATAAAGAAAAGCAAAACCAGCCAACCAATCAACCTCAACCCGGCTCAACACACAAGTCACTCACTAACCTCCGAGTGACGACTCCGTAGCAGCCCGCTGCCTACTTCCCTCTCTCCTCTCAAACCTCCTTCTCTGTCTCCTCTCTGCCGCACTCGACACCTCTCTCTTAACGCCACCACCACCACCCGGATTCTGGCTCGCCCCGCTCGGGCTCAGCGCGCTCCACTGCCCGGGACTATCCAGACTAGAAATCGTCCCTGCGACATTGGGCATCTGGCCCCCGGAAGGTCCAGCATACGGCGGCACCCCGCTACTTCCACCGTAGGATGCCTGCTGCTTCGGTGTACCGCTACCACCCGTGTTAAGAGGGGCCGGATATAATGGGTTGACCGAAGGGTCTACCCTTGCCTCGGCCGCCCGTTCGGCTCGGCCGCGCTGGCTCGAACTCCTGCTCTCGCGGCGATCCGACCTGCGATACCGCCTACCGCTGCTCGGCTCCGATTCCGAATGGCTGCTGCTGACCGAGTCGCCTCGGCGGCGCCGGTTGTTGCTGCTGCCCTTCCTGGCGTCCTCGTCCGTCATCCTACGCAGAGTGATGTTCCTATCTCTGTCACTCTGCACCTTGACCTTGACGCCAGGAGCGGGCTGGTCAGAAGGGCCGCCTCTGCGACGCCGGTCGTCTTCTTGTTGTTGTGCGGCTAGGAGACTGGCGGATGCTGCTGCTGCTGCGGCCGCCGCCTCAGCCTCTCGTCGTCGCCTGTCAGCATTGACATCTGTCAGGTCGCTGCTGCTTGTATCGGTCGGGGGTCTCAGTGGGTAGAACACGCCGCGCGGGTCGGGAGGCATCGCGGGCATAGCAACCGGGCCATTTCCAGGAGCTGGATAACCGGAGGGTCCAGGAGTAATGGGAACAATCGTAGGCGGCGCACCAGCACCTCCGGCAACTGGGATGGGTGCAGGTGGTGGTCGAGCTCCGCCGCTCATGGGCGCTGGGTCGTAAGGGGCATGTCCTCGCGGCTCCATGGTAGTAAACTCGTCAGAGAGAACCGAAGTGCCGGTCGTGCTGGTCATGTCTGTTGGTGCTGCTGGGCGCATAGCCGCTGGGCGACGTTGGGAGTCACGTCTGGAAGGACTGGGGTAGCCATCACCGGTAAACTTGGAGTTCCGACGTCCAGCTCTGCGTTCTTCCTCTTCAAATCGCCTGTCCTCCTCTTCACGTCGCCTCTCATCTTCCTCCCTTATGCGATCCTCTTCCTTTCCTGCACGCCGGTCCACTGTCTTTTTGGCGAACCAGCCAAGGCCAAGTCCCGAGAGCAGACCCTTCCCAGCCCCGCTGCTCCGCTTCTTTTCGGGCTCTTCTCTTCTAGAAGGGCTGACGTAGGAAGAATAGTCTGAGACAATCGTGCTGTCGAATCGCGAATTACGACGGCCAGCATGCGAGCGTGGTGGTGTGCCAGGTCGGTAAGGGCGTCGGTCATCTGCAGCGCTCTCCGCTTCGGAAGCAAGGATCGGATTTTGCTTGGAATTTCGTCGATTGTCGGTTCGGGTAAAGTCGGTATAGTCGGTATAGTCGCTTTCGGTTGGTGCCGGACCTCCTCTCCGTGGAGGAAGACGACTAGGTCCTGTTTCTGTTGAGACAGCCGAATACTCGTCATCACGACGGTCATGATTCTTCTTCAGATACTTGGCGGCCAAAAGACCGGCACCAAGCCCAACCAGCTTACCCATCCATCCGCTCCCTTCACCCGTGTTGCGTCGCGAGGACACGTCGGTATACTTGTCGTCGTGATAGCTGTCGTGCCTGACATGTGAGGAGGTGATATCAGTTTCCCCGTCATGAGGAGCATGGGAGCGATATGGACTGGGACTGCGGTCCAGGGCCCTTTCCTCGTCCCGGTTGCGCTTGCGACCACGAAGCATAGCCAATGCGCCAGCACCGGCTGCCAGACCGAGCCAATTCCTTCCATGGTGATGGCTCTCCGACTTTTCATCCGTGTATCCAGTAACTTCGGAGCGGGGGCCACCTGCGTAGTACTCGCGGCGCTCCTTGTCTCTGTAATCAAGAATGAAGTACAAGACAAGAAGGAAACCCATCCAAAGGGCATAAAGAATAAAGCAGTACTTGGGCGAGCCATAGAGCGTCAGGCCAAGCGGCACTTGGGCAATACCCAGGATGGCAATAGCGCGGCCCATCCAACGATGAAGATGTAGGCGGAATGAATGGCCGGTGATTTTGCGAATCAGGCTGCCACCAAAAGCCTGCACTAAGATCATGACGTAAATGGCGACGCCGATGCCATGGTGTGGGTTTGTGAGGTTCCGGGGAGGACCGACAGCGATGAAGCCGAGAACGAAGACGACAGTGCTGAAGCCGACAGTGATGATCTGCAGGTATGCATGATATCGAATGGCGTATCCAGGTCGGCGCGAGTAGAAACGGGCAATGAAGACGGCGATTGGGATGATGAAGAGGAAGGTGATGGCGGCAATCACTCCGTGGCCGATAATGAGACTGTGATATTCGGTCAAGGTCGAGAAGCGATTGCCCATGCCTGTCATTGATGAGAAGAGTCGGAGTTCCTTGTTAGTTATATTCTTTTGTTGGTGAAAGGCATGTACCGCACATACCATTGTATCGCATCGTCTCAAAGTTGAGCCCCTGGAGATTGGGAAGCAGGAAGGTATTCTTCTCAAAGTCCCAAGTTCCATCGCCTACCGTCAAGGTATTGGACGAGTAGGAACTCGACCCGGGCGGTGAAAGATTGTTCGCCATGGCGGGCGGGCACAACTTGCTGAAGAGACGGCCAGCTCGGAACAGGCCGAGGAAAGATCAAGACAGAAGTTGCTCAATCCCCCGTCTTCTTGCAACTAAGTACAGGAAGGCACGACGATATTGGCAAAAGTTGGATGAACAATAGTGGGCGAAGCTGTCGCGCGGCGGTTCGCGCCTGGCAACAAAAAGATTGCCAAGTTCCTGCCGGCTTGGAAACTGGGACCTGGACCAGGAACAGGAAACGGGGGGGCTGGCATCGACAGGCGCGATACGTACAGTAGCGGGGCAGGACAGCCCAGGCACACTGACAGGACAAGCACCAGTTGCGAGCTTAGCCAGCTGAGCTGAAGTTGGAGGGCTGAGTCGTGACTGATGAGGGACTGTTTACTTCTGGCACTCAGATAGAAGTAAGGCAGGGAGTCGCTGTTGTCCCTATTCGCTACCTCTACCCCGAAGAAAAAGACTTTCAGTGTCTGCACGAGTTGCACTTGCACTTGCACTTGCGCTTCCATTCACGGGAATGCACATGACGGGCTTTTCTCCCGGCGCTGGTCGCCCTGTGTGTCCATTGAACCGTCATGGAACCTGCATTCGCGTTTTCCTGTTCGTTACACAAAGTGGGCAAAAGACAGAGACCCTGCAGCGCTGCGGACAGTTCAAGATTTAGTATGGAGGCTGGGGAAGTGGTTGGTTGCTGGGGAACCGAGCTTGGACCACCCCATCCCACCCCAGCCTCCTCACCACACACACTCACTTCCAGCTTCTCCACTCCCGCAGTTTTGGGACGCCAGGAACGGGTAAGGCCCGCCAGGGCAGCTGGGGCGACCAGGGTTGCGCTGTCTTCAGCCCGTCAGATCTGCCACTCTGATGGTGCTTGAGCGCTGTGAGTGCGGGGATAGGGCGGGGTTTCCATTCTGCAGGGGAATCACTCTTCCCTTTTTCATCTTTGACATCTTTTCCCGGGTTTGGAGTAGTATCATCATCATCATCTGAAGATAATCTGAAGAGAGTCTACCAAGAAGTCCTTCTTACTGCCTGGGCCGTTAGCCCATTTCGTGGAGACCCTATGATACAGAACAGTTAAGCATCTGAAGGAAAACCTTGATTCATCTAATCCCCTCAAACTCTCCATCGATGTCTTGTGTCAAAAAGCGGCTTTCCGAAGTGAAGAATCAAGCCTTATGAGGCAACGCTTGAATCTAAGCTTCAACGCCTCGCGGTGGCTACATATGAACATGGCCTTGACGACAATGCTTAGCCTCATTTGATATCACTCCCCCTGCTATAAGGTCTGGCAGTATCGATCATGTCAGCATTATATCTCCCTTCAACCGCCAGTCTACCCTCACCAAAACCCACCAAGTCAATAATTCTCAGACTTCTTCCCCGAATATCTCCAAGTGACAGCCGTCGTCAATCTCCCTCTCCAACCCAGCGAACCAACTGTCTTCGCGTCGCTCTCCCTGCACGGTCCAGATTGCATTCGCCTCCTCTAGTTCCCCGACGACATCATCAGCAACACTCGATTCATCATATCGACAGCTTGGTCCTTCAGTATAACCACTAGTGACCCCCGCGGTGAGGAGGCTTACCAGTACGAGCTCAAAGGCAGGCCGTTAGGAGGCCACCACATCCAGCACTTAGTAATTCATTCAGCCGAAAAAGGGGGTTTGGTGTGTGAGGTTATGGCCGTGATGGTAGTGGAATTCCTGAAGCTGATAGATGGGAAATGGAGTTGTGAATCATGGTGGTCGCTTTCGGTGCGCATGCCGACGATGCTACCCTCGATAGTCATCACCGCATACTTGCACACAAGACTGTCTCGTATTCCGTCCCGTCCTCAATGGAAGACGGAAACAGTTTTTGGCTCAAGTAAGCGCGAGAAGGGACTCCTTCCGTCATCGATCGATCACTGCAACACAAGTCGGACATTCTGCTTTGAGCCCAATATCGAACTTTCGGGGATCTCAGAACAGAGTCACAATGCTGATGTATTGTTGGCTTGGTTCCTCGGAGAGACCTTTGATCGTGCTCAAAGGGTCACGAAGAACTCAATCCACATCGGATCACAACAGATTTTTGGAATGAGTCTAACAAAACAATCACACTTGTTGAGACAGAGCATACAAAGTCGGGAGAATCAAGTCATGTCGATTGAAGACACCATAAAGTCCCGCGCTACTAATGCGCCTCCTTTCTAGGGCTGGTATCTTGAGAGGTGGATTATCTCGGCAAGTGGTATCCGACTACCGACCTTCCTAACCGCATTATCTCCAAGCGTCAGCTAAGTTTGGGTGTAAGCGGGAGTTCTGCGGAATACGAGAACAGAGAGAGGTGATAGCAGCATGGCGGTGACGATGGACCTCTCACAGTAGCACTGCCCCGAAAAAAAAAAAGAACCATCGTCGCTTTTTTACCTCGCACTAACTGCCCGGTCCTACACTAGGCCTGACTGCGGTGTAGTTACCTCAGCTCCGTCTTGCAGTTGCTCATCGGCTGAAACTGCATTCTACAACGGAAGGGCCTGGCCTGCCCTCCGCCACACTCATGATAAGGACATGGGCATTGGTCAGCTACTGCGGCCGTCGTCGGCTCATCAACGTCACGGTTCTTGGCGCTTACACTAGGCTCAGTCGGTAACTGCCCGAACGTTACATACACTAAAGCTCTCACTCCAGTCGGTCGTCAAGACTGACTTCACCGGTAAAAGCGGGAGTTTCCCATATGTGGGATCGGTAAAGTCATCCTTCCCTTTTCTCTCGTAAAGCTTATACGAGAGCCGTGATGGATACTCACTAACGGGGACTGCCAATGCAACCAAGCAATACGTGGTTGCACTGGTTCGTTGAACACGGGTTGAACCTCTCCTGTTTTGGCCAAGTCCGTGATAGCTTCGCTTCGTTCTTACCCTCGTCGCCGACCCGCCGAACCACTAGTGATCATGCTGATCGTCACCGCAATGGGCCCATCATGCCGAATCCGCCGGCCATCTCCCGTCTTCCATGGGTGTCCTTCCCCAGAATTCTCGTGATCCTCATCGACATTGGTTCTCAGTGCAACCTTCCTTCCTGAGGCCCTTCAACTGCTACGTCAAGTCACAAAGAAATCTGTAGAAACTCTCTGCTTCCGGACCAGTATATAACTTCCCATCCTCTCTCCCCCATCGACTCTGATCTCTCTTCTTCTTCTTCATCTTCTTCATCAACAGCATCACCAGCAGACACCACTTATACAACTTTTTGGTTAGACACACAACATCATCATTGTATCTACCAGTTCCAGTGTCCATCCCATCCACACCTTTTCACTCTTCACCATGAAGTCTTTCACCTTGTCCGGCGTTCTCGCTGCTCTCACTGCCACCGCTGCCGTTCAGGCCCAGACCTACTCCCAAGATGGCCCTTTCAACCTCAAGCTCAAGTCCGATGATTCCTCCATCGACGGCAAGTACCTCTATGCCTGCCACGCCGGTGCCGCCATTGAGTCGCTGTGCCTTGGCAGCACCGAGAGCCCCGCCGGCTCCTCTTCAGCCTCCTTCTATTACAACTACACCGTCAACGACAACGTTCCTTCCAACTCCGGTCTCTTGATCTGGAACCTCGAGGCTAACGGCCAAGATGGTGTCATCACCGTCTCTTCCCCTCTGTCTTTCAACTACGACCCTGGCTCTAACGTTGCCACGACGCTGTTCATGGTACGTTACTCCCTTTCGTCCCTCATCCAGCCGAGTACCACTTACTAACATGACCTTCACAGCCTTCTACTTCCCCGAGCCTCAATGTTGCCTTTGACAACGAGGACCAGCTGTTTGTTCCTACCTACACCGACGACTCCAAGTATGTTCCGGGCCAATACCCCCAGAATACTGGCGCCATCGCCCTCCAGAACTGGCAGGCATGCTGGGCGCAAGTTGGAGGCTACTACTACAACGTACTCGCGTGGGTTACTAGCGGCGCGCCCAAGAACCCCACTTGCAAGGCTGTGAAGGTGGCCAAGGTTGCGGTTTAGGAGGCTCAACAAGAGAAACCCAAGGGCGACCAGGTTGGGGAGACTGCTGCTCAGATCCCCGACGGCCAGGTACTAAACACTGAGCAGCAAACGTCGGAGGATGACCATGTCGAGAAGGGGTCTGAGGAACAACAGCCCGAGGGTGACTCCGCCGGAGAGACTGTTGCCCAGATCGGTGATGGTCAGGTGCAGAATGTTCCTGCGAATGAGGATGGGGAGGTCGTTACCCAGATTGGGGATGGACAGATTCAGAATGCTCCCGCAGAGGAGGGAGAGGACGATGACGAGCCTGTTTCCCAGATCGGCGACGGTCAGGTTCAAAACGACCCTGTGGAGGAAGACACAACTCCTGTCACTCAAATCGATGATGGTCAGGTGCAGAATGCTCCCGCCGAGGAGGATCCTGTCCCCGTTGCTCAGATCGGTGATGGTCAAATCCAGAATACCCCTGTCCCTGTCACTCAACGCAACGATGGCCAGATCTAGAACCCTTTCGTCAAGGAAGAGCCCAAGCCTGTTGTCCAGATTCGGGATGGTAGCGAAAGCTGTTCATGAGGATGGTTCTCACGCGGACTTCAACAACGAGTATACGAACAAGATTTCATGGCAAGGAAAATGAGCCCAGATGGTTGGCTGACTTGGGCAGAACGTGCATCATTAATCACTAATGGTTTCTTTCTTAAAAGTAATAACAGTCGAAACTCGATGCTTTGGCGTTGAGAAGATTCATAGTTAATACATTTCATTTCATTCACGTTTTCCTGTTTGTTTTACTTTGCTTTGACTGCGTAGTGACCAAGATTTCATGGTAAGAACATGGGCAGATGTCAGATTTGGATTCCTTCTTCTTGGCACTTGATACTTACTGACCAGAGCAAGCTGGCATTGAGAATGAGGTAACTAACTAGGTAGCAAATATTCCTTATATATATCATCAGCTCTGGCATTGGTTGACCAAATGTGTGGGCGGTGGCGCATGGCTCTGGTCTTCATTTCGAAACTTTGCGCCTATACTACCTCTTCTATGCGTGGATGAGGCTTCGCAAACGCCTCGTACATGGCTTGACTGAGTGTGAGTGTGGTGGTGGTGATGGAGGAGTGGCGGTCGTGGAGAAGGGCTTAGTTGCTTCTTGCAAAATCTGCAGATCAACTGGAAAAATTCAGAGTACGAAGCATCGGGCCCAAATCGCCACCTCCCAGCTGACAGAGAATTAAAATAAAATGGATTGGGTCGTAGGTGAGTGCCTTCCTCGTTGATCCCGAGCCAAAGCTAATGGGTGTTCGGTTTATTGCAGGTAGTGGTAGTTATGGTGGTCATGACGGTCGTGGCGGGTTGAGTATCAGGGGTAGGAGAAGGGAGAGTGGAAATAGAAATAGAAATAGACATGGAATCCAGGGGGGCGGAAGAGGAGAGGAGGCCTCATGATGGTGATAGAGATTGAATTATATCGAAGCTAGAGCCGATTATGTGAATTCCCACTTGAGAGTCAGGGACAGACATGCAGCGAAAATCTTTGTGATTCTTTGCCGAAGGGGTTTGATTCTTATGGAGGAAGCAATGTCTCGAGCTCGTTGGTGTTAAAAGCTGATCTTTCTATTCAATTTCGTGCAACGAAGCTTTCTTTGGTCTTCTGTAAGCAATTACACAAAGTTGTCCTCAAAATGTATGATGAGTAAGGAACATATATGTTGATTTTTTCCGCGACCGCAACCGCAACCCTATCCTATCCTGCCCCTGCCCAAAGATCCGTAAGACACGTCGATGTACCGCTAAGCCAAAGCGAGGCTGTAATGGAAGAGAAGAATGGGAACTCTATGATACACATACTCCAGGCCATCGATGACCAGTAAATCTGTCAGCTATTCTCAATTATCGGACCAGAAGTGATCCTCCGAGTTCAATGACAACAGAAGTGATCGATGCATCCCTGAGCTCAGACATGGTGCGCTTCCCCTATTGCGGCTGTTCAGCCTTCGTCTCCTGATCGGTGTCATTATTGGCCATCTCGACATCCTCCTGTGTCGCCCGCGGCGTGTCAGTTCCTTCCTCGCCGGCCTTGGCGCTGCTTGCTTTCCTCTCATCGGTGGTCTCGGCATCAGCATCAGCATCAACGTCCATCTCCTCGGCCGTGGCACCCTCGGCATCATCCGTCTTGCCGATATTGCTTTTCGAGCCGCTGGGTTTGTCAGTTGCCTCTGCTGATGCTGATGCTGATGCTGCCGCCTTCTCCGCGTTGGCAGCCGCCTCTTCTTCCTCCGCCTTGGCCACGTCGTAGGCGTCTTTCTCTTTCTTATATCGCTCCGCGTCCCGATCGGCTCGGTCTTCGAACTCTTTCCTGCGGTCTTCGGGGAGATCTTTCCACTCGCGCGACAACGTCTCTTCTTCGACATCGGTAATATCGCCATTGTTCTCGTTCTCATTGTCGTTGTCGACATCTTCGGGGCTGCCGGAGCCTTCGGCGGCTTCCTTGCTGGCCGCCGCCGCCGCCGCCGCCTTCGCCACAGCTGCCTTCTCCTTCGACGCGGCGCGCTTGTCGTCACAGTAGAGCTCAAACGCGCTGCTCGGCTTGAGGGGCCTGAGGGTGCCCTTGTGCAGACCGTTAGTCGGCTGGGCGGCCGAGAAGGCGTCGGAACTCGGCGACTGGGTCTGAAGGTTCTGGTTGATAAAGGTGGCGCCTGCGGCACTAGGCAGGTCGAGGTTGGGCATGGCAGAGGGCTTGCGATGTCCCCGCTTGATACGCAAGGGCTTCTCCTTTGGCTGCACGGTTGTGGCTGTCAGCTTACCGACCCGACCTGTGCGTGATTGATGAAGGGATGTATGGTGATGGTGATGATGATGATGCTGATTGTGATGGCGAGTATGTCCGCCCGGATGGAGAGGTGATCCTGGGGGTGATGATATGGCGTCACGTACTGTGGGCGGCGGGCTGGGGCTGCCGTCAGAGTCCTCCACGTTAGTGCTCGTCCTCTTGGCCAACTGCTCAAGAAGGAACGCTCGCTCCAGCCTCATCTTCTCAACCTGGCGCTTCAGCCGGGCCAGACGCAGGCGAGCGGCATCGTTGGCCTCCTCAACCTCGGTGGTGCGCTGCTTCAGCTGGATGCACTTCCTGCGGTAGGCCTCCTCGACCGAGGGAGGCAGCTGGGGCGGGACTGAGCTCGCTGATGGGGGGCGATGGGCAGAAGGGTCAGTAACCTTTTTCTTCATTTTGAGGATGATGGAGGAAGACATGACGAGGAGTAATGGATGGAGAAGGAGGAATTCGCAAAGCGCAATTGCAAGGTAAGGCAAGGGAACAAAGGGAAAAGCGGATGGAGGTGGCAGGGCAGAATATGGAGGAGATGTGGGAACGTGTCTTGGGTGTTTGGGAACCTGGACCTACCTGGTGCCATTGTTGGAGCAGTTCTACCGTGGTGGTGAATTAATGATTAATAGTGGAGTTGTTTGTGTTTGCGATCGTGAATCGTTACAAGAATGACGAACGAAGGGAAAGAAAAAGCAAAGCGACTTGTTGTTTGCGGAAAGCGAGAAGAGAAGGGAGCGTGAAAAGGGCCGGCCACCTGCTGCTTTAAACCTGCACTGTCTGTCGGGCGGTCACAATGGAAATGAAGGTTGAAGTTGGGACGGAGAGAAGGAACAGAAGTGAATCAATGGACTGGTGGACTGAGTGGACGTGGATGGCGGCGGCGGCGGGACCTGAAAGTCACGAAACGACCAAAACGCCCGTCTGTCCACGTACCGCTGTAACAATCGCGACGGGACAAGGCTGATCATGTACCCAAGTACACTACATACGTACAGTTACAGGCCCACTATTTCGGTAGCTAAGAGATGGATCCCAGCTGCTGTTCTGGATGCTCCCTCTGAAAGTCGACAATTCTTGGTTGCGAGATCAGGGACGGGGCGGGATGCTCTGGCATATTCAAATAGTATGCAGTATATGGAGGTATCAAACGCTTAGCTCCCAACTGGAGCAGCTTCGCCGAGTGGAGGTCTGAAGCTTCCCTATCCACATAGTCTAGCCGCTGCCTGCCGCCAGTCCGCCACTGCTGTCTTCTATCCGCTTCATCGACTTTTTTTGTGGGCCCCGCACCGCTTGGGGGGGAGGGGAGCTCCTGAGGAGGCAGGTCCATTTGGCATTTGGCTACGGCCAGTGAAGACACCGCAAGACAGAGGAAGCCCGACCAAAACAACACAGATTCAGGAGAAACACCAGAATCAGCCCACCATGTCCTTGAATATCCCCAACGCCCCGAACGCCGGTCTGTTCAAAGGCGGCTACAACAAGTAGGTTTTGTCTTCTTTTATTCCCCTGGCTCTGCTTCTTGCCAGCAATCGACGTCAAGTCCTACCCCGCCAAACTCCCCTCCATCGCTTTACCTGCGCCTATGCGGTCCCAAGGGGTTCATGATCTATCTATACATACGGCAGTACCAAGACAGGACCCAAGCTCTAACCATGGCACAACACCAACAGCTACGATTCCGAGGATGGCGCCGTCCTTCGCAACATCGATGCCTGCAGGGCCATCTCCTCGACCGTCCAGACCTCCCTCGGCCCCTATGGACGCAACAAGATCGTCATCAACCACCTCCAGAAGATGATCCTGACCTCCGACGCCGCTACCATTCTCCGCGAGCTCGATGTCGTCCACCCCGCCGCTAAGCTGCTGGTCATGGCCAGTCAACAACAAGAATCCGAGATGGGCGATGCTACCAACCTTGTCATCATCCTTGCCGGTGAGCTCCTGAAGAAGGCCGAGGACCTGTTGCGCATGGGTCTCAAGACTTCCGACATTGTCACCGGTTACGAGCGCGCCCAGAAGATTGCCCTGGACACCCTGGAGGAGCTTGTTGTCGACAAGGTGGAGGATTTGCGCTCGCAGGCGGGTTTGAGCAAGGCCATCAGGACCGTTATTGCCAGCAAGCAGAACGGCAGCGAGGACTTCCTTGCTGATCTGGTCGCCGAGGCCATCCTTGCTGTTCTCCCCAAGAACCCCGCCAACTTCAACGTTGACAACATCCGCGTTGTCAAGATTATGGGTGGCAACCTCGAACAGAGCCGGGTCGTCAAGGGCATGGTCTTCCCCAAGGAGCCCAGCGGCACCGTCAAGAAGGCCAAGAAGGCCAAGGTCGGTGTCTACACCTGCCCCATCGATACCAGCCAGACCGAGACCAAGGGCACCGTCCTACTACACAACGCCCAGGAGATGCTCGACTTCACAAAGGGAGAGGAGAACCAGCTCGAGACGATGATCAAGGAGCTCTACAACTCCGGCCTCAGAGTCGTCGTTGCCGGTTCCACAGTCGGTGAGCTGGCGATGCACTACCTCAACAGATACGGCATCCTGGTTCTCAAGGTTCTGTCCAAGTTCGAGCTCAGGCGCGTATGCAGAGTTGTCGGTGCCACTCCCCTGGCCCGTCTGGGTGCGCCCATGCCCGACGAGATGGGCAGCATCGACGTTGTGGAGACTATGGAGATTGGCGGTGACCGCGTTACCGTGTTTAGACAGGAGGATGAGGTTACAAGGACAGCAACCCTCGTTCTGCGGGGCGCTACTCAGAACCACCTCGATGATGTTGAGCGTGCCGTCGATGACGGTGTCAACGTCGTCAAGGCCATCACAAAGGATGCTCGCTTGGTCCCTGGCGCCGGCGCCACTGAGATCCAGCTCGTCGAGAGGATACAGGCTATTGGCGAGAGAACCCAGGGTCTCGCCCAGTACTCGATCAAGAAGTTCGGTGAGGCCTTTGAGGTCGTTCCTAGGTTATTGGCGGAGAGCGCTGGTCTAGATGCCACCGAGGTGCTTAGCAGGCTCTACGCCGCCCATCAGAAGAAGGATACTTGGTCCACAGGTGTGGATATCGAGGTATGTTTCGTCATGTATTCATCATGATTTGAGCAGTGACTGACAAGTTTACAGAACAACGACAACACCGGTACCCTTGATGCCGTGAAGGAGGGTATTCTCGATCTCCTTGTAACCAAGCAGTGGGCTATCAAGCTTGCTACCGAGGCTGCCAGGACGGTTCTTTCTGTTGATCAGATTATTGTTGCCAGACAAGCCGGTGGTCCTAAGCCCCCCGGTCCCAACCCTGTAAGTTTTCCACAAGTCCGCCCTTTCTTGGCCGACTCGGAAATTTGTTGCTAACTACCTATCTACGACAGAACTGGGATGAGGACTGATCTGTTAGAAGAGCGAAAACCGTGTAATTGAGCCAAAGGGATAGATACTGCGGCTTGTGAAATGAATTTGTTGATATAGACAGCAAGGTGACATAGCCGTGTACACAAAGTAATACCCAAATTTCGGTCTGGCCAAGATCTGTCTGCCCTTTTCACTTTACTCGATCGGGGAGTCTACATCCCGATGATGTCCCACTGTTGTCGTTGCGTGTCATTGCAACTACTCTTTTTTGCTCGACCACCTGCCACAACACTTCTGTTTCCTGTCGCTGTGAAAGACTCGCGGACGCCTCCCACTTCAGGGTCGACCTCGCAATTCTATAATACCAAGAGAGAACCTCCGTTTTAGCCCGAATGGTATTTGCTTTATTGCCTGTTCCTCAATCTCCATTCCACCGTCGCTCTGGCCTCACCTTTTTACGTTTCCCAAAACGATCATCACTCCTCTACTCCCAAACATCTCACGTTAACATTGATATCGACTTGATTACTGTTCCCTTCCCCATCGATCCAGGTGAGCGAACATGCGAATACAACGCCCGATCGATATCTTGCATCGAAAGAAATTCTTCACGTAGCACCAGAAACTATCTATCTCCGAGTCTGCTCAACCGCGGGTGATTGACCATGGTCATAAGCCAGAAGGGCGTTTAGAGTTTCAAGGAGGTTTTGCCGAGGTCTTTCCTGGATTCCGTAAGCCGCTGTATATCTTCGTTAAATGCCATACATGGTAAGTTGTGGATAGGTAGGTAATCTAGTCTGACAGACATTTGAGTGAAATGGCACCGTCCCATGCATGCTTTTGTTCCCATTTCGGTTATCATTTTCAGTTGTGTCTTCATTGTGCGGGGTGTAGCTAGGTAGGTACCTAGGTATGAACGCGATCCTTCCCCGTATCTTCTTCTTCGACCGAGGTGTACTTGGAGTTAGTGCTACCTAGTTTTCCTCTAAGTGCCCAGTTACTGACCGCTCATCAGCCGTGAAGTGCTGAACTATGCAAGATGGTTAGGTGTGCCATGGATGTAAAGGTTAGTACTGAAGGCTGGTTTCCACTTGTTTATGTCGTTCTCGTCTATTTCAAGAAAACGGAAAACAGACCATCTGATGTCAAATAAATGGCCTATGAGTTTGCTGGGGTACATTTTAACCAGAGATTTCACGATGGCAATTTAACAGAAAGAACGTTCAACAAGGACACTCGCGTATTGTCCCGTTGAGCCTATCGTTTCACCCTCCAATACACACACCTGATGTATCACCCACCAGCTTCCCATCCATAGACCCTCCCTCCTCCCCCGTCTTTACATCATGACGGGAATGAATGGGCGTGGCTGGGCAGGTCTTTTCAGAAAGAAGAAAAAACAAGGGCGAAAAGGAAACAAAAAAAAAAAAGCGTGAGCGTCCCGTGACGGACTCAAACCGTTGTCTTGCAGGCAGGCCTGCGGCACGTATGCAGACGCGGAATTTCCACGCCGGGAATGTTACCAATTACACCAACGAGCCGCCCACGAGAAGGGAGCTGGTGAAGGGAAGTTATATGTCTAGAAGGGGGACACGGGGGTTGGACTTGGGACGACTGTTGGTATGGAGTATGGCAGGTACGGGCAAGTACGGGCAGGAGGGTGACGGAGATTTGGCGAGGCAGGAGTGGCGAGCGGGCAGACGGGATGGAAGGAGCGGCGGGCAGGAACTGGCGGACGACCACCCCAGGCCTACAGATTTCAACAAGCCAGCCGCGATGGGACAAGCTGCCCAAGCAAAAGAAGGCACGAGTTTTGCAGACCTTTTCCTTCACTGCCTCTCAGATAACCAACCTGATGCTTGAAAATCACAAGATGGAGAGAGGTATGGAAGAATTGGCATGTCAAAGCCAAGAAGAATGCAGTGATGGTCATCATAGATGCGGGTGTACATTGGAGGAGTCATCCTCGAGTGTCTCCCGCGGCGAATTGATTCATGATTTGCAACTTCCATTGCGAAGTGTGAAACTCGCATCAACTCAGCTTTGGTTTGGCGAACCTGCCCCTGGCCCTGACTCTGCATGTAAGTGATGATTATGTGACACCCTGACTGCGGAGGTTTGAAAGACTCTTGAAGTGCATTGTACACAGTTTATACTGTTCGGTCATTCAATCTACACATGGCTCACCGGGATGTCTGATAGTTCACGGCTACGAGCCTAAGTAATTGTTGACGTCTATGTTTCGTTTCCTGAGCATAATATATGCACATTGTCTGAAAAGAGACCGGATGGTTCACGATATCTACGGGGTGATTTTTGACCCGTAATCTATAACTAGATGGTAATGTTGAAAGACGGACCTGAGGAAACTGGTGATGTGTGTCTGGAAGGGGGGAATGCGAGTCCAAGGGTGCAATGCACGAGTGTCTGGAGACTAGATAGGATAGTACAGAACCGCTCCGTTCTCGAATTCTTTCCTGTAAATCTCCTTGATTTGTTTTTTTTCCGGTTCAGCTACCGAGGCCTTCTTGCTTCAGATCATCTCTTGCTCTTGCTGCGAATACAGACCGAAAAAGTACTATCAGCGTTTGATAAGGTTTGTAGAACAAAACCATTGCACTATTACTCGTATCATCGGAAGTGCGAACTTTGCTAGACGAGGGAATATCACCGAGGACCCTCAAGCGGCCACTTCACGTCCCAACTTGTTGTTCGAGTCCAGTAATTGAACATTCATCCATCGTCATATCATTCCATGTATGTCAATTATTTGCCTGAATGAGGCGGTGAGAGAGATCTTCCTGTTCAGAAACACAACGCTAAAAGGTCTCAAACAGCGCGGCTAATGCTCACTCGGTGTTGGATCTGTAATGGATCATCATCGCCATATTAACATGCCCATGTGTAATATAAGGTCAGTGCGTCTGCATACGACTTTGCAATGCCTTCTTAGTACTTGAGACGGGGATCTAACTGAAGATAGGATGAGGAAAGAAAGACTGACGCGAAATTAGAGCCGATTGGCTCTTCAAGTTTCGTATCACCAGATGACGCACGGCCCCTATATGATGTAAGTAAGTAGTCGTTGGTGATGATGCTGCGGGGCCCTATATCTGGTGGCGGTAAATGTGAAGTAAGAGTCAAAATTCATCTTGACCAAACACATCTGGCAGCAAGCAGTTCACCCGCCTCCATGAAACAAAAACTCGCAAGTTAATACTGGAAATGCGGGGGAGATCCGAGAGGCCATCCATCGATCTTGAAGCGGCGACGGAGAGAAGATCGCTGGATCGCTCGGACGCACAAGTCCCGGAGTTATCGCCTTCTCTCTCTTAGGTAGTCCCACGGCTGGGATGGTTTGGCCATCACATCACAGTGATCCGATACCATGGGGCTAGCTTGTGCACCGGTATGTATGTAGTGTTGTTGGGGAAATAGCTTCATCGGCCGTGTCCCGTGTGTGCTACCCCGGATGTGATTGGGAATCTGAAGAGAAGTTGAAACGTAAGCGAGGCAGGGGATGAGCTTTTCAAGCAGCTGGGAAACACCCTTTTGGTCGATTCGATTCAGCTTCAGTTCAGACCGGCAGCCAGCGACACTTCCCGTGGTCTGGAGCTCCAGTCCTTGTTTCCCCGGAGTCCCAAACGAACCAGCGCTCGCGGCTGTTAACGCTTGGACCCTGCGAGCCGCGATGCTTTTTCTTACGGCGTCGCGCCCGTCTGCAATATCCGCGGGATAGGATGCCGATTTGCTCGTCTTTTTCTTGGCCAGATGAAACTGGGAAAGGGAGCCGAGGCAATTGCCATGAACAGGTGGACCGTGGGATGAAGCTAAATCATGGACTCAAGCCGCCTGACCTGGAAGCTGTCGGCGATAAATCTGATATCAGAGCGATACGTATGATGTGGCTGTTTGTCTTCCCCGTCGATGCCGTTCCAGCCGTGATGCCGACGAACGGCCTCTGGGATTTTCGGGACATCGCAAGAACCATGGAGCGCACGGCCACATGGACTGGCCAACTAGAGTCACGGGCGCGAGTAGAGCTGCCGTTCCGAGTTGAGATCGTAGGCGGCGTTGTATTAGACTGTTGGAAAAGGCCATCATAGGTAGCAGTCGCTAACATAGTCATAGTTGGGTTCGCTCATCACTGTTACTAGTGTATATCGCCCAGACATCCTATATAGGCGAATTCGGCCAGTGCATTCATTCCCCGCCGCCGCGAGGGAAGACGCATGGATTCGCTGAACTCTGGCGGTCTCGATGTTGCAGTCGGATGCACGAAATCACATGCTTGGGACCAATGTCTGTTGTTGACCCTGAAGAGCTTCATTTTACCTTGCAGATGGCGGATATGAAGTCTGGAGTCTAGGTAATAACAGGTCGGCTTTTACCTGCAGCATTATATACGCAGTATATGCCTGTATCTTATACGGGTGGAGCCAATAAAAAGCGGAAGACACTTAGTTCAAAGGTGTGAAGCCGTGTGTGAAGGTATAATCAACGATACCAGTCCTGGAAATTGATGATGACTGCTCCCGCCTTGAGCCTCATTCTTGTCTCAATTTGGATTCTTTTCTATTTTATATTATTTTCTTTCAAGTTTTTCTCGTTCGGTCGATTAGAGGCAACTGCTCCCCTGCTGAGGGTGCAAGCTGAGCCCAGTTGGACAAATCATCTCCCGTCATGCCCGCCCAGCTGGGAGAAGTGGATCAAGCGTGAGTACGGTACCCCACTTACATATAGGCCCCCACTCCTAATTTCCAGCAAGTCATGCTTTTCGGAAGGCGCGATATCAGCAACATCATGAGCTAAGTAGGTAGGAACAGCTGAGACTCTCGTGTTTTTGAAAGCCCAGCCGTATGGAGGGAAGGTGTAGCTTGAGGATAACAAAGGAAATTTTCATGTACTTACCTTCAGTTTACATATCGACGAGCTGCTAACCGTAACCGGCCGTGGCGACCTCTACCTAGGCGGACGGACTATTGAAAGTCCATCTTCCACCAGACTGACCATCTCGCAATCCTCCAATGTCCCAACCATGATGGCATCAACCCCGCGCGCCAGACGACGACCGTCCTTCACTTCGCACCCACATCATCTCCAGCCAGCTCGACCAGCCCACACGGAAAGGCCGTTGAAACGGTTTCAAGGGTATCAGGCAGACCGCTGCTAGTACGCTTGAAGAAGGTGTCTAGTCTATCTGGTGTACACACATAATCCAATCTTACAGTCTTGCGGACCCTGAAGAAGCGCCACCCTCCCACGCGCTTGGCACACTCGCAAACGACACCATATTTCCGCAATACCTTCCAGAGCAGGGAACTCCTGACCAGACTGGAGACCACAGAAACCCTCACAGGCCTCCTCGGTCTCTGAGCCAATATCCGCGCCAAAATGCCGACAGCTCTCCAGGTCCAGAAGCCCGGCGATAGGTGGGGGCGATGAGGTGATGGCCAGGGGGGATTCCGGGAAGGGGGGAGCAGGACAGGCAAGACACGAAGGGGACTCTACCAGGAAGCCGGGCCTGTCAGGGAACCTGGAACACTCCAGGAAGCATCCGCGACAAGTGATGTGCGCTGGATTTCTATGTATGGCACCGCCACGTGCTGGCAACGACACCAAGGATGCCTCTAGAGTTTCGGGTTTGACCTGCCCCTCAAGCTCCCCTGCTCCCACCTCTGCCCGACGTCGGCCACGAGGATCGGAAGAAGACGCCTCGGCTTGACTCGATTCGGCTGTTGCTTCAGCCTTGCAAAGCTTCGGTAGCCAAGTCCGGTGGTGGACGTGATCGATTTGCTGCTCCGACTGCGAACATGTAGATGACCGAGATGGTTTCCTCATTGATACTATCCTATACGCCTCCACCAATAGTGTTCAAATCACGTCGCATCGCAAAAACTTCCGGTTTTGGACCTCGAAACTTTATGTGCTGGTTGGACGGCCCACGGCCCTTCCCGTCTCACACTCACCCACCCTCACCCACCTACTAACATGCTTCTGGGTGGTCTCACAACAAAAAGGTTGGCCGGAGACGAACGTACTGCGTACCGATCGCACTTTCAGGATGCTAAGAACAGATGTTTCAGCCATGATATACCGGGTCTTAAAAATCGAAAATCGTCATGGCAGTGCTGACGATCAGTTCGCCGTTGCCTCAACACAAGGCTTTGCAAGTCTCCAGAGCAACTAGTGTATACATACCGAAGCCACGACGAAAGAAAAAGAAAATTGCAAACAAATAGAGATAATATCAGGCGCAGCACAAGCAAGGTAGTAGGTCTCATTAACCCCTGATGCCCCTGGATGGTGGATTGTTCGGTTCACCACTCAGAACCGAGATCCCGTTGCTCGCGCGGTGGACAGCGGAAAATGTCCTTCGCTGCAGGTCCTCCTTAGCGCACGCCTGACCCGGTCAACTCCACTATCAGAGTAACGATACAAGGAACAGGGTCGGAACTGGAAGCGTCTGAGAGACGATTGGAGGACCCCAACGAGATGTCGCGGGCTCGACCAAACCCACTGACCCAGGCGGCCGGTGGCCCACCACAGCCCATGAGAGGTTCCGTTGGAGTCTTGCTCCCCCCTAGAGCGGGACGCCCCCCCGATCGCTCCCATGTGTCTATGGGCCCGCCCTCCCCAGCTTGCGTGATGCAGAAGCGAGGAGTAGCACAACGCTGGCGACCTGCCTGGGTGGTTCTAACTGTTCCTGTGCTTCTGTTGCGATGCGAACCGCCCGGCACGTTAAAATCAACTGGAGCCCCGATTTTCCCTTTTCCTCCAGTCCGCTGCCTGTCTGTCACGTCCCTCTCTAGCCGCTCTTCAGTTTGTTTCTAGAAAGCCGCCCTTTTGTCGGTGGTGTCACGACCCTTCCTTTTCTCACAAGTCCACTGTATGCACACACGTCTCTCTAGTGTGTACTAACAAGTTGACGTTGGCCGAATAAAGTACCGCGCCGCCGCATCTTGACCTCAGACACTTGGCCAATCATCCAGTCCTTGCGCGCGCGCCATACTGCTGCATTGAGCAGTCACCTGCAGAACCGCAGAAGTCGAACCGACCCGTACCGGAGTGTGGAACGAGGGAAAGGAAAGCAGGAAACAACCAAGCCGGTGCCGAGCAACCAAAGCAGTCGACGACTTCAACGATATTCTCGATTCCCTGTCACCCACGTAGCTGCTCAACGAAAGGCCCCATCGATCTCATACTCAGCCCTTTCTACTCGTCAATCCGCCGATCGTACTCTTCTACAGACGACCGACTTTTGCGCAGCCAATCAACGAAACAAGATATCTTGAACGATTGCATTGACTGGCCTTCGCTGGCTTGTTTTCTTGCGGTTCTACGGGTTGGGCGGCTCTGATACTATATTAAGCTTCAAGTCTTCTTCTTAGAGTCTTTGGAAGAGTCTTGGACCAATCGGCATTGTTCTTCGACAGACTTTGCGGCTTTCTCACTGTATCTCGTGTAGGTGCTCTGCGAGGCTAGCAGCCACGGGCTCACGTGTTGAGGAATTGGACCGTTGAGGACAGCAAACACGAGTGGGAAACACGCCAACCAAGGTCTCGCATCGACAATTACTGGACAGCAGGGATTGATTAATACCGGCCCCCATATCGGTGGTCTTCTACTTCGAAAGAGAGAACACAAAGAACAGAGTACAGGACGGGATTTCAGTCAGCTTTGTTCCAAACAGCCATGCGCTGGTCGCCATCCCTGGGACTGTTTCCGCATTGTTGATACGGCCCCTGAAACGTACTCCAAAGGCTTGACCCAAGCGTTTTGTGACTTCGTACAGCCTTTCCAAGGGCGACAAGCAGCAAAAGGGGAAAGAGAACTCTAGGTTTATTGCGACAGGCTTCCGATCGTCAGTCTTCTGAAGGAGATTCCGCAGAAAAGGCAACACACTCTAGAACTGCTCGGCTGCAGGTCAAACTTGCATCCCCAGCCCAAACACCCTGCCGCGGCCTTATATTAGCTCAGCCAACATTCGACGTCACTTCGGTCGTCGCAAACCATCTTCCACATGTTCAGCAGGTTGCACAGCAAGCATAAGGGCCACTCCAAGGAGCAGCAAAACAGGCGGCCACCCGACCATCAGGCGTCGACGTTGCATGACCTTGGCATGCTTGGGCCCTCTTCAACATCCATTCTCTCTGCAAGCGGCGGCTCACGGAGACCAGACTTTGACCGGTCCAACCATTCTTACCACAACCACTCTGGCGTTCCTGCAAGACAGTATCCCGCGACGTCATATTCCGAGAGAGGTAGGTCATATTCTTATAGTTGAGTCTCAGACTGGCCATCCCTTCTCATTCCCTTCCCTTACCGCATTTCAGCTTTGGTGTCTCGGGAGCAAGGACTCTTAGGAATCATGGATGCGCCTTCAGTTGAGCTGGCTGCTAACCTAGGCTTCGCCTAACAGATAGCCCAATCCCTAACGGACACCTGGGCGCGCAATCACACTACTCACTCGTTACACCTAGTTCACCTTCTCAGTCACGAGAGAGCACCATGATGAACAGTAACGCGAGCCGGGGACGCCGGGAGCGCACGTTTGTTGGAAGCGAGTGTGCAGTTTGTGAGGAGCCGCTGGAGCATACCCTGCAGGGCGAGAGGATATTACAATTCTCGTGTACCCATGTGTCACACGAGGCTTGCTTTTACGAATTCATCCGCGAGTTTGAGTCTCAGTTTTGCCCAACATGCAACGCGCCATTGCATTTGGACACCAGCCGTGGAGGAAACGTGCTGGATATCGGTAAGGGAAAACGAATTCTTCTGGCGTGAATGCTCAGTAGCGCTAACCAGCTCAACATTAGAAAAAATTAGCAGCATGGTACGCTCAGTTTCCGTAAACGACACTCGGTCGCCACCGGCCCCAACTCCAGCTCCGGCTCCAGCTCCAGCTCCATCGCAGCAGCCCTGGGATGATCAGCTAGCACGAGCACCAAGTCGAGCATCAAGTGCTCGGCAAGACGGAGGTTTGGCACCTCACACCATGGCAAGGGTCAGCCAACGCGACAGTCGCGACGCCCCTTCGTCGTCCGATCATCGTTACACGCCAAATCCGAGACACGCGCGTAGCGATAGTGAGACTACAGGCGCTACCGGAGGAATGGCCTCATCGGGAGGATATCCGGAAACGATGCAGAGTGGTCCACCGCGAAGACACGACTACGATGTTCAGGCTATGGAAACGTCGATATCAAGTCCCCCCCGTGCGATAACCCGGAACCCAATTCCAGCACCGACAGTCACCATCCGGTCGGAGTTCCCTACAATTAGCAAGTCGCGGCAACAGCAGACGCTTACTTGTCTGGTTACGGTTGAGGTACCCGATAACAAGTGGACACCGGATCCCGAGGACCTACAGAATGGACAGCCCATGCTACCGCCATCCAGAGCTGAAGAGCCATATCCGCGCGCACCGTCGCCTGCGAGGAGCGTGCCTCGCTTCTACCCTTATGAATCACCAGAAGTGTTGGCGGAGATGACCGAGAATCTACGCAGCCGAGTCGACAACTGGCATGGCCTCGACTTCAGCCGGTAAGTGCATACTTGATCTGTTTAAGCATTTCTTTTCAGTACTCTCGCTAACACGAAATTTAGCTTTGGGAAGCTCCGACTTTACGGCACACTCCGTGTAGGCAAGGATAAGGTGTCATGGCAAGAGCTGGAATGCTTTCTCTTCGCTGAGATGCTCATCTGCGTAAAGGAGAAGAAGAATGTGCCCTCGGCACCAGGACAGTGGGAGGATGAAGCGGCGCGCAAAACGGGCCGATGCACGCTGAAGGGATCGATCTTGATCAAAAAGCACCTAAACGGGGTATCGGAGACCGGATCTGTCGACGAGAACATCCTGACGCTGAGCTTGTCAGTGAACGAGCTACCGCAGTTCCACCTTCGGTTCGAGAATCGCAACCAGCTCAAGCTGTGGCAACAGGCACTGTTGGATTTGAATGCCGTGGAGACTTCACCAATGCGCAGTCCCGAATACGACCGCGAATTTTCCGAGGCAGACGAAGACGAGTGGAACAGGAGCGCTGGTTCGAAGCAGCGGGTATCATCCCAGGCGTCATCCTGGGGCGGGGCCAGGTCCGCCACCACGGCCCCGACTGAGTATACTAATGTACGAAGCCCAGGGCTGCTCCCATCAATCCACGTCCCGGTTGACGTTGTCGTTGTTGTTCCGATTTCGGCCTCCATGCAAGGTGTGAAAATCAACCTTGTTCGCGACGCCCTTCGTTTTATGGTCAGCTCCCTCGGCGATCGTGACCGTATGGGTCTCGTGACGTTTGGATCCTCGGGCGGTGGTGTTCCCGTTGTGGGCATGACTACCAAGGCGTGGCCTGGCTGGAGCAACGTTTTGGCATCGGTCAAACCCGTGGGGCAGAAGAGCCATCGTGCGGATGTGGTTGAGGGTGCGAACGTGGCCATGGATCTGCTCATGGGGCGCAAGTACAACAACCCCATTGCCACTATCATGCTGATTAGCGATGCCTCGACTTCCGATGCGGACAGTGTCGACTTTGTGGTGTCGCGTGCGGAAGCTGCCAAGTATGTCTTATTCCTCTTTACCACGCCAACCTTTGAGTTTTTCTAGGTGGAACTAACCGGTATTCTAGGATTACAATTCACTCCTTCGGCCTGGGAACGACGCACAAGCCCGACACAATGATTGAGCTCTCGACGAGGACCAAGGCGTCATATACTTATGTCAAGGATTGGATGATGCTCCGAGAGTGTCTGGCAGGCTGCCTCGGTGCCATGCAGAGCTTATCCCACCAAAATGTTAAGCTCAAGCTCAAACTCCCAGAGGGGTCACCAGCCAAGCTGGGAAAGATCAGTGGCGCGCTCCAAATCACGAAGCGGGCAACTGGGCGCGATGCGGAAGCCAACTTGGGCGATCTTCGCTTCGGCGACAAGCGCGACGTGCTTGTACAGCTGACGATTATGCCAGATACGTCGTCCGAGGAACCACAGTCACACGCTTACTGGGACACTGTCGTATCAGGACTGGAGGCGATAGGAGGACCCATGGACGACGAGGATCAGAGGGCGATGTCGGTGGAGGAGGTTCCTTTGATACAGGCCGACCTTTCCTGGGGGGATATTCTACGCGAAGGCGCCACGCAGCACACGAGACCATCGCTTTTGGCAATCACAATGCTGCCGGCAACACCAGGCTCGAAGAAGCACTGGACCGCCTCGCCAGCGATTCCGCCCCACCCGTACATTGTACAGCGGCGGATGGAAATTCTCACGTCGGACATGTTGACTCGAGCATTGACTTTGGTCAGCAGAGGCCAGCATGATCGTGCCCATACGCTGTTGAGCGAGACGCGATCGATTCTCAAGGGTCTCGGTAAGGGCGGGTTGCCCCCAGTGCCCCCAGCACCTGGAGGACCGCCCACCAAATCGCTCCCGTCCACGCCTCTCCGCACGCACTCGCCCATT